TGTGTGTGTGTGTGTGTGTTTGTGTGTAATGACAGCTGCTCTGGGGAAATTACTTTCTTTGCTGTTCTCTGACTGATGGGTATAATGAGTGGTGGAGCGGGCACAATATGCAAAGAGATGATTAAGGCCGTATTTTCATTTATTTACGGCAAACCGCTAGAGTGGAAATGTTCCAATGCAATGATTTAGAATTATAAAACAGAGTCAGCCGCACACACACAGCTTTATAAATCTGATGAAAAGAATGCATATTTCTGTCTTTGTGCATACACCTTGTGTTAAATCAACACAGGGTTTTATGCATCTGGCACAAGAACTTTTAGAATCTGCCAAGACTAGTGGTGACATTGTCTTTATAACTCATGGAGGGATTGCTTGGGCAGCATGAGCTCTTGGAAACTCCGTAGCTCTGGCAGACAGAAAATAAATTGATTCTGGAAACTTATTTGCTGAAACTGAACAGGACCCTTCCAGTATCCCTGACATCTGTAGATGCCAATCTGTGGACATTAGCCATGCCTCTAAGAAAGCCCACAGCCAGCCTTCACTTACCCTGCTGGTGTGACAGCATTTTGGGGAGCTAATGTATAGACGGCAATCTATTAATGCAGACACCTTAAAACTGTAGTAAGGAATACGTCCTCCAGACTGTAGTCAAAAGTCACAAGAGACACTTCTCCACACTTTTTGTTAACAGCTCTTTGCTTTCCAAACCATGACTGTGGCACGCACAAGCTCTTTCTTCTGCATGTGCAGTAAGCATTGATTTGTTCAATGTGCAGGTTCAAGGACATCCAGATTTCATAGGTTAAAAATTGCATTTAGACTGTTTTTCAATGGCCAGCAGGTCCTAGCATGTTGAAATATATAAATAAAGACTGTTGAAACTACATATTCATTTCAAATTTACTTCAGTTTTAATCAAAAAGTTTTACCAGCTATGCATATACACACACAAATGTGCCTGGAGGATATTTAAGAACGTGCTGAATTATATTCAATGAGTTCCAAAGGTTGCCTATTGGAAATCTATTATAATCGTTCTGTAATTTCACCCTACATTGTCTCACCATAGAAATCTATCTTGAGTTAATAGGTAGCTGTCGATAAGCAATCACAGAGGTTGAAGAACACGTGGAGGAACTGCCATTTTGGTTGTCATTGTTGTCATTCATAAAATTGATATGTGATCCTCCTTTTTTCCATTTCTCTCTTTCAAGTGCGGACACACAGGAAGATATAGTATAAATCAAATGAGGATGATTTGCTCAAAACTTATTCTTTCAAAATGATTGATAGCACAAATTGAAAAGTGACCTAATGGAAAGCTTGAAAGTAATTTCCCCAAGGTTCTTGTCGATGTTTGAGGAAATGAGCGTATCGTTATCGACAGACTTGCCAATAAAGTTTTGAATGATGGTGAAGTTCTTTTGCACCAGTCAAACACACAGGGCAGTGATGAAAAGACTCTCTGTCTCTGAAATTTACTGTTGTTTGTCCCGACGCTACTGCAGTCCAAGAGACTTGTACAGGAAGTTCAGGGGGTCAATTGTCCAGTCAGTCAATCAATTATATCGACTGACTTATCGACCCACCATCCTTTTGATTGCTGTGCCAGGTGGAACAGAGGCAGGTAAGTCCAGAGTGATCAATCTTCAACAACCACAGTGTGTCTCAAGCTGATAAAATGACTGGCTGCAGCGATCTTATATTGAGCTGTAGTCAATGCACACTCCAGAATCAGTACAAAGATTTTGATGCATCTTTTAAATGTAGAGGTTCATTTTTTAATTTTTAATTATAGTTTTATTTTGGTTTGATAAAAATCTTACAAGACCACATTTTCCATACAACGGAAAAGGCTTTGAGGATGAGGAACCAATGTAATGTAAATAACTCTACCTTTAAGAGTTATTTAAAGCTTTGAATGGGTTGATAGTGTTCTGGCATGGCCTTTTGCGGGGTGGTGACGGTGTAATGTCTTTTCATGAGGTCCAAAATCCCTGGCATCGCCCCTGAGGAGAAAGGAGGGAGACTGGAAGGAAATAGAAGGGATAATGGAGATTCTGGTGTGTTCAGTCAGAGGCTGAACACAAACACACTGGCACACTTCCACAGACATGGTCCGTGTGTCTTTCAAGAGCTTGCTTATAGCTGATGTCCTGCTGGCACACTGGCTTTTTGATGCTTTCTGTCTGAACGCACCTTGAGCTTTCTGGTGCCCACTCAAACCTCGCTGAATTTGGAGATGGCAAGAGAACAAACTGAAACTAGAAAACACAGATCATAAAAACTCTGTGAAGGCTGCACAATCCTCTAAATGTGTTATCAAAATGTATATTTTTTTTATGTTTTAGAAATGTTTAACCTGCATCTGCATACAAATACAGAGACAGATGCACCAGAAGTCAAATCCCAAGTATACCAAAGTGTTATACCTTGTTTTTTTACAGCATGAACTGGGCAATACTTTGATACAGTTGAGAAGTGTGGCTGTTATAATACTGTAAATCAACTCGTACAGTACATTAATGTTTTTTTGTAGTAAAATAGTTCAAATTAAATTAATAGCCAACAAAACTATGACTGTAAACACCTGTAAAAACTCAAAAACACCTTTTACACCAAGTTCATCAAGTGATTTTTGGTGATATCAAGCAGGAACATAGTGACACCTCACCGTTAAATGAACCTCAATACCTCCTTATTCGTGTTTGTGTGTGTGAGACAAAGGGTGCATGTGTGTGAGTGTTACAGTGTGCGTGCGTGTCCCATGCATCATCAGTGAATGTGACAGAGTGCTTACTGATGTAGCAGAGAAGTGCAGAGCGAGCGTCCGGGGGAGAAAGGCTGCTGAACTGTTCTGTCCAGGGATCACACTGAGCAATCGGACCACAATGCACTGCAGCTGCAATCCATTTAGGAGCGAGGGAGTGAGTGTGTGTGTGTTTGTGAGTGAGGGAATGGGGGGGGGGGGGGGCCTGGGGGTCCCATAACGGAAAGGTCACAGGTTTGATCCCTGAGGAAGTAAGAGACAAGATTTCCATTAGAGAAAGGACTCCTGCACTGTTTGAACCCGCCACTCTGCTCAGAGTTGTTTGGAGGAAGTTTGGTGACTAAAAGAAAGTTTTGGTCAAACATGTTTAAATCCGGGACTTTGTTCTTGTGGAAGATTTTAAATACCAGTAAAAACTTTTATAGTGACATTAGAGGAAATATGGTGCAATCAAGAACCAATGTGTTTATTTGTCAAAATAATTAGAGTAAAAATGCTGTCATGATTATTTTGGTTTCCTCTTTATTTCCTCTTAATAAGTTGTTTTTTGTCCTCCATCCTTGAAAACTTATTATAGAAAATAATAAATTAGGAACGACTGCAGAAAATTAAATGACTAAATAAATTAAAGATCAAAACTAATTAAAATTAATGAATGAAAGGTCTTCATAAAATAAAAAATATGAATAACATCTGATAAAAATGGAAAAATAAACAAATAAATGTGTCCAGAAAGAATGTCCACACTTTTTATGTCGATTTATTTACCCTCAGCAGAATAATTTTCCTTAAGTAGAATTGTATTCATTGTTGTGTACCTGCTGTACTCTTATCAAACTTTCAATACCACCATTCTGAATTTCATTATACAACCTTGCACTGTAGATGACAATTGAATAACCTTGAATTAGACATTTCAAAGATATTGTTTCTTTTTTCATTTATATATTTTCAGTTTATTTGACGATAATATTTAGTCATTAACTTATGTATTTATTTACTCATAAGCTGGACTGGACTAGAAACACTGAGGCTGTCTACAAGAAGGGCCAAAGCCGACTCTTTTTCTTGGGGAGGCTGAGGTCCTTTAACATCTGCTGGACAATGCTGAGGATGTTTTATGAGTCTGTTGTGGCCAGTACGATCTTCTTCGCTGTCACATGCTGGGGCAGTGGGCTGAAGGTCGCAGACACCAACAGACTAAACAAACTGATCAGGAGGGCCGGTGATGTCGTGGGGGAGGAGCTGGACACCCTGACGACCGTGGCAGAGAGGAGGATGCTGTCCAGGCTTCAGTCCATCTTGAACAATGTCTCTCACCCTCTCTACGACACACTGGCCCAGCAGAGGAGCACCTTCAGCAGAAGACTCCTCTCACCCAGATGCACTACAGAGTGCCACAGGAAATCATTCCTGCCTGTGGTCATCAAACTCTACAACGCCTCCCTCAGAGAGTCAGACACCCCCTCTCTGTAATTCTGACTCAAAACATAGACAATCATTCTTTTGCACTTTTTGCACATTAATACTGTACATTTGATCTTGTGTATATATATATATATATATATATATTTATATTTTTTGTGCTGAATGTTGTATATATATGTTGTTTGTATAATATGTCGTCTGTATATCTGGAGTGTTGTAACGAAAATAATTTCCCCCTGGGATTATTAAAGTATTTCTTATTCTGATTCTGACTATAATATTTAGTCATTAACTTAAGTATTTATCTACTCCATTATAAGTCAGCTTTGGTCTTCCATACCCCCGTGGGGTTTATAGTAAGTACAAAGCACTTTTGATTTTTGACAACCTGTCCATTCCAGTTTCCTCGGGGAAAACGCTCCATCAAAACTGTAGTGTATTCAATTTAATGGCTGCCTGTTCAAGACATTTATGAGCGAGTTGAGGAAGTACTCTGCTGAACAGAGTATCCGGTACAGATAGTGTCGTAAATATACTTTCATTTAAAAAACTTCTGTAAATAGTTCTCTTTCTCTTGTGATCAAATACATTGTTCTGAAGGCTGCTTTGTAAATAGTTTTTCAATAAATGTAGCAACTTCTGATCAATCTATATCAATTTTAATACTTATATTTACAACTTACGGTTAGTCTCACCCTTTCTGAGTACAACACAGATCATTTAGTTGGTTGAACAGATGCAGATAATGGTGTACTTGCTCATTCCTAATTTATGAAATAAACACAGAACACTGACATTTTGAAAAGAGAACGACTCAAATTTTACTTTATTATAAAACAGTGGAGGCCATCTTTGCATTTTTCATTAATAAGCTGCTCTAATGTTACTGTATAATGCAGTCAGCGTCACAGACAGCAGTGTGACTACAGAAGCTTACAGCTCAGCATAAGAGGGAACGATGTCACACACACACACACACACACACACACACACACACACACACACACACACACAAACACACAGAAATATGAGTGTTTTAAACATTTCTGCCCACTTGTTGTGAAATTCACTGACATTTCTGACTTTATTGTATCTTGGAGAAGAGAGCGACCGGTAACTGATGGCTCCTTATCTTGCAAAGTAGCTGCAAGAATTTACAAAGTATTATCCATTTCTATCTCTGTTTAGCTGCTTATAATTAACCATACAGTAGGTGATCACATTTATGATCAATATCTGCGCGCACGCACACACACACACACACTATGAAGTTCTCGAGGACCACTAGCTGCTGCTTTAAGCACACATGCACACGCTTGCACATAGCAGTTGCCTACTTACTCAGGTGATTAGTGTTTATGATTATCATGCAGCAGTAATTTTCATAGGAACAAATACTAAACATCCATTTTAGGTTTATTTAATATCTAATTTGTGGAACTCAGTGCCTTAATACCCTGTATTCATAAGGAGATGATCAATATTTTCACATTTACGTTTTGGCATCTTATTGCCTACAATAAGACAAAACTAAAAATCTCAATCCATCAACCCTTTCACAATTCACGCCATTATAAAGCTTAAAAAGCTTTGTTTAAGACACAAATGATACATTAATAATACCCGATATCAGCTTATATCAGTTTCTTATTTACTTCTCTAACTAGATAAACTGTTTATTATCGTCTGACCAGCAGTTAATGTATCCTCAAAAATATCCGCTTGTGCGTCGACACACCCATTAAAGTGCTATATACAATACAGCATCTTATCTGTACATTTTCATAAAAACATACAAGCACAACTAAAACGTCAGCTGACATTTCCCTGATTTTATATCGCTTCATTAACAGCAACAAGGCATGGGCATTTACAGTCCACAGAAACGTAAGCCAATGCGTGCACACATCTGAACATGCGCGCATTCACAGCTAAATTAGTCCCAATAAAAGTTTGCAGTAGCTACCAGCGGAAAACAAAAATTCTCATTATTCATATAATAATAAAAAAAACATAAATAGCATGTGTTCAAGTAAATAGTGTGACTCATTCAACAAGCTGATCCTTTAGCTAATGATGACACTGGTATGAATAGGTATTCACATTTCATTAAGTGAGGCACATATATATATATATACTGCTTTATGTTCCTCCATTCATTAAAAAGCATCACTGTATCTGGGCCCCTGAGCGATGAGTCATCCAAGCAGGTCTGTATTGGCCTGTTGATCCAAAGTCAGGAGCTCTGCAGTAGTTAATGTCCTCCCACCTTCACTTCCTGAGAGACAAAAAAAATCTGTGTTATAACTGCAAATCCTTAACTGATATATAGGAGGAAAAGTGAAAATTCAAATTTTCTTTCCACCCAAATTTAGTACCATTTTTACATTAGCAAAATAGCATTTTCTTAATCTCTGCAATCAATTTTGTGTCCAGCAACAGCAGGTAGCTGTTTTCAGTCAGTTAGCTTGTGGAGTTTTTTTGCCCTCAAGTGGCCAAAAATCAGCTAATGTAATTTATAATAAATAATAACAGTGATAATAATAATAATAATCTTTTTTTTGTGGGGCATTTAACAACAAGCTTTTAGCAACAGATTAACAACAACAACAGCCACAACGTACAGGTAAATAAAAGGCTATAAACAACTAGTTATAATAATAATAATAATAATAGTTATAATAATAGTAATAGTAATATTTTATATATATCTTATTCACTTTCTGGTCGAGAGTTACATGAGAAGATTGATGACAGTCTCGGGTCGGTACACTAACCAGAGGTGGAACCAGGAGATGATTAGCAGACGTGAGTGATATCAATAAAAACATTTCCCAAACTGTTGAATAACTTTCTCAAAGTGGACCATATATAAACAAATGGAGGTAAAACAACACCCAGTAAGAAAGAGGAACTACAAAATATATCAAATAAAAACTCTGAGCAATGGGGAGGTAACATTGAGTGTCATTGTGATGATAAGAGATGCCATACATAGTTAGGGAGATCTTGGAAAAGTGCATATAAAGAGAAGAATAGTGGTCCCAATACTGACCCCTGAGGCACACCACACCTGACAAAATGAAATGGGAAAATGATTTGTGAAATGATTTCAGCTCCACTTGTTCTAGTCACTGTTTCAAAGAAAATCTAGTTTATTTTAAGTGTAAGACTTCTCAATGAAGCTCTGACAGCATGTGGACACTCTCAGACTGGGTTAGCAGTGACAAGAGCATCAGACCGACAGGCAGACGAGTGAAGAAGAGCAGATGGAGTGATATTGTCATCCCATATGTGGTTGTGTGGTCTATCACTGCATAGTTTTTTTTCCCCAAAGTTTCAATTACAAGTTAAGACAAAAACATACTCTAATGCAAGGAGGAATGCACAGATACAGTATACACACTTGGCAGAAAAAGCAGATGATACATACTGTAGAGTACTTACTGACACAGACTAAACACTTACATAAGAGCGTTTACCAAGTGGGTAGGTGTTTTTCTTTTCTTTTACCAGATTAGATGAACTTACATGTTTCGATGTGGTCCGTATGTGTCCAGCATGAGAGTGCTGGACTCTTCCAGGTTCCACTGGCAGCGCTGCAGAAGCTCCTCGCACTCGGCTCTCGACCGCAGGCCCAGACGAAACAACTGCTCCACCTACAATACAGATGGTGACAAGAGGCATTTTAAGCAGGATGGGTGGTGAATTTATTCATAGTTGTGCTGTATATATTTTTTTAATGACCTGTTCTGATATAATTTTACTTAAAAATGCCTTTTTTAACATCTGGGTAACAGCAGTTAAAAAATGGAGGCTTGCGGTATTTCAGGCAGGCACACAAGTCATTTTACAGTTCCATTCATCCTCCAATAATTTATGTCCATGACCTTGATCTCTCACTGTACAGCGTCCATATAAACATTGTGCTCATTTAGTCCCTATACAACACTGAGTTCTGTATCCTCGCTGCTACACTGCTGCTTGCTTTCAGGGATGTAACTCCCTCCACCTACCAAGCAGTGGTAGAAGAAAGTAGCAATACACACTATGAAAATAATTAACTACAAGTCCTGCATTCAAAACCTTAAAGCAGCAACCAGGAACTTGTTTGTTCATGCAGGCCATATAGAGGCATCAGTATTAAAGGACCAGTGTGTAGGATTAAGTGGCATCTGACTAAACATCCCTGCCAACTGTATTTGTCTTTGTCGACCTCGGAATGAGAACGGGCTGTGAAGTGTGGAGGAGAAACTATGGTGTCCGCGAAACTCAGGAAAGACACAAAAAAGCCTTATCTACAGCAAGTATTTGGTTCATCTCTTCTGGGCCATTGTAGAAACATGGCAGTTCAACATGGTCAGCTCCACAGAAGCAACCTGTGGCATTTGTAGATAAAAACTGCTTATACTAAGGTAACGAAAACACAACAATTCTTATATTCAGGTGGTTATACGCTAATGAAAACATACCTATGTATATTATATTCAATTTCTGCCAATATATCCTCCTAAATGTTACACGCTAGACCTTTAAGTGTTCCTTAGTTTTATTTTCCAAAGCTAACAAAGTAATGTGAAAATGTACACAGGGTAAGTGTACCTTCAAATGATTTATGGCCTGAGGAATGCTCCAATTGTGACCCTGCAGAGCTGCCTGACACTCCTCCAGCGTGACACCGTGTACTGCTCCTTGGACCTGTCAATCATACCACGAACATATCATGAATGGAGGATGAAAGTTAAAGAAACATGACTGGACCTATGGATTGTTTGTATTTTCAACTGAGATATGAAAAGAAGAGTCCTGTAGCTTGTCAACAATTTCAAAGCCTTCAAAAAACCCAAATACTCCGTGCTCTGTATTTACAAAAATATGTTCCTGGGTGTTGATGGGAGCAGAAATAACGACTGAATTTAAGATCAAATGTTGACACAGGGATGTGGACTTCCTTCCTTGATCAGGGAGTTTTAAAATTATATCAAAAATATTTGTTGTGGGTGATTCTGATTTGTCTGCGTGTAGTATTTAAGAGCCTTTGGTGTTTCTCTACTTATTATTTGTATATTATTTTACCTGTGTGATGCTCTGCTCCTGTTGCATGCTGGGAGCTGCAGTTCGCCCATTGTTGTTGTTGTAGGAGGAGTTTGGTTTGGCTCCGCCGGGCTGCTGGATCATGGGTTTGACTGCCGCCATATTAGCTGCTCCGTATCTGATAAGAAAACCACAGAGACCAACTATAGTGACAGTTTACAGGATCACATACATACACAACATGAAGGAATGTTTGTAATAGTTAACAAAGTTTATCTGTAAACAAAAACTGCACTTTTATTTATGTACTGAATCAAATTTAAAAGTATATAAACACATTTATTTCATATATATTAAGGTCCAGCTACTCAATTTAAAAGTTTGTTATCTTGGTGGAAAAAGCGATATAAAGACTTAAAATAGCTTTAAAAACAGGTGTTAAAGACTATAATGTTAATATTTCTATTTTATTTTCACATTTCACACAATTTCAAACACTGTGGCTACAAAATACTTTCGATCATTATTATTTGTTTTTCTCTAACTGTTGCATTTTTATGTCTCCATTTATTTTATTAATCTCTTATTCTCTATATATGATCTCTTATATACAATATTGTGAGAATATTATTATATTATTGTGTCCATTGTACAATTTTATTTTGTGGATCACAGGAAGAACTGCGGGAATCCAAATAAAGTAAATAAACCTCTACGTATCTCTTCTGCAGACTGAAGAGAGAAGGCAAATATATGCACGGAAAATATCTTGAAGAGGTGACATCACACTGTGCAAAACAAACTAAATAATAAAACAGGATTAAACCCGTGGGAAGAGAAAACTTTCTTTGCATGAGTGAACAACACTTCCCAAGTAGATAAATACAGTTCAGTCAAGCTGTCAGTCAAACAGCTTTCTCACTTTGTATTGAGTGATGCCTGCTCTCTGGGTGTTACGTGAGCTTTCAAGCCATCTTTTAGTGCTTCTAGTATTTTAGGAACAATTAGAACGAGCTGGAAAAGCAGATGTTTAACTCAGTGACATGAGTGGAAGCATTTAATGTGGCAAATATTTAAAGACTTACTTTCCAAGACCCCTAGTCGTTGTCTTTGGACTTTGACTTTGGAACAAGGTAAACTAAGGATAAACTGTGAAGGAAAACTCCTTAATGTGGCCATTCTGACCAAGCTAACTTTGCACACCAAGGGCGGCTGTGGCTCAGAGGCAGAGCAGGTCGTTCCTCAATCGGAAGGTTGTGGGTTCGATCCCCGGCTCCTGGTGCCACATGTCGAAGTATCCTTGAGCAAGATACTGAACCCCGAATTGCTCCCGATGCCGTGCATCGGTGTGTGTGTGTGTATGAATGTTAGTTTCTGTTCGATGGACTTTGCCATCACTGAGTGAATGTGTGTGAAAGGGTGAATGTGTGTGAAAGGGTGAATGTGGCACGTAGTGTAAAAAGCGCTTTGAGTGGTCGGAAGACTAGAAAGGCGCTATACAAGTACAGGTCCATTTACCATTTACCCAAGTTTATCGTAAAGAACACTATCTATTAATATGCAATAATAATAAACATTTATTAGTTATTGTTTCACATATAGGATGACTCTACCTCATTGTTGATAAACAGATATTTAATATATTCCCAAATCTCTACAACGGAGGTAAATGGATGGACCTGTTGTTGTATAGCGCCTTTCTAGTCTTCCGACCACTCAAAGCGCTTTTACACTACGCGCCACATTCACCCTTTCACACACATTCACTCAATGAAGTCCATCAAACAGAAACTAACTCATTCATACACATTCACACACCAATGCACGGCATCGGGAGCAATTTGGGGTTCAGTATCTTGCTCAAGGATACTTCGACATGTGGCACCAGGAGCCGGGGATCGAACCCACAACCTTCCGATTAAGGAATGACCCGCTCTGCCTCTGAGCCACAGCCGCCCTTGGTGGCGAGTGCAACGTGGAGTGTGATTGACACAGGTTGAAAAATGCTGGAATTCCCCTTTAAGTTAGACAAAACTTATTGAATATTAAAGTCAGACAGAAATTTTAAATAATAGTTATATATAATAATAGACATTTTGGGAAATACGCTTATTTGCCAGTTAGCTTAGCAGAAGAATTAAAAACAGGCACAAACAGCTAGAATGACTCAGTCCAAAGGTAACCTAATCTGCCTACCAGCACCACTAAAGCTCACTAAGTGACATATACATCTAGCAAGACAGACAATAAGTGTATTTCCCAAAATGTTAAACTATAAATGTTGATGAAATATGATAAATTAATTTTTCAAGGAAACAATACAATGTTGGGAACAAACACACATGCTCCTTTCCCAACTTGCCTAAGAAATGGTCTCTGTCCTAATTACGTAGAGTGAATGAGGTAAGACGGTGTTTGATATCAGCAACACACCTTTCTAGAAAAGCAGGTCGGTCTGGCAGCGGGGCGGGAGCAGCGCTCTGGGAGCCGTCCATCAGCGAGGTAAGGCCACGCCCCTCACGAAAGGCGAGAGGCTCCAGTAAGGAGCCGGATGAGTAGGAGGAACCTCGAGCTGTGAGCCGTGAGGAATGTGATGTGACTTGAGGCAGGGAGGACACAGACGAGTTGGAGGACAGAAGGGGACCCAGGAGTCCGGACGCCCGGCGTGGGGAGACGGAGAGGGGAGGAGGAGGCAGGGCCACAGGGGAGGAGGATAGCGGCGGTACCAGTGGAAGGGGAGAGGAGGAGCGGGAGCCCGGCTGAGAGAAGGCGTGGTCTCTGGGTGGGATCTGAGGAGGCGTGTCTTCCTGGTCACCCAGGGAGATGGAGCTGGAGCGCGCCTGCGGGTGGGTGGTGCGGGAGGAGAGGTTGTGTTTGGAAGGACGCAGCGGGGGGACGGGGCTGCGGGGAGGCAGCACCGGTCGATCCTCGAAACAGGAGGCGAAGGAGGAGGTGGAGGTGGAGGAAGGGGAGGGAGGAGGCAGGCAGATCTGTCGGTGGGGGCCAAGAGGAGCAAGGGGCATAGGGAGAGGAGAGGAGGGGAGGGAGCGGCCCGTTGCCATGGGAACCTGCAGCTTCACCATCACCTATAACGACAGACAAAAACATTAGCATAGAGTGCCTAACTTACGTCCACTTACCTGTAAAGTGAAACCATGCGTAAACTCTACCTCTCGCTGCAGTTCTTGGAAGAGGTCAGCTGACTGCGACTCACTCCTGCCTGCCATGGCGCCGCTGGGCGTGGTCGTCTCTTCGTTCAATCCCCTGTTGATAGACCGCACCTCCTGGTCCTCTGATTGGTCGTCAAGGTCAGTAGTAACCTCGTCGTAAGCTGGCTGAGGGAGAGGCCAGTCCAGGATGGATGGAGTGTCCTGAGGATGACAGTGATGGACAATTGGAGAAGCAGACAAAGTGTTAGGTGACAGTTATAAGAAAAAAAAAACCCTCATTTAATATCCTCCTGACATTTTGTAACAACGCAACTAAAAATCCAGCCTTGGAACGCAACCTTTCTCAACAGTATGTCATATGGTTCACTTTATATGTTAAGATAAGGATGGGGGCTTTTTGAAAGACGATCCAATATTATCGGGTGTTCAGGATTAATGAGCCACCAATCGTTATCGGCAAATATTCGCTCTAAACCAGTGGTTCCCAACCTGGGGTCGCGAGACCTTCTTGATTTTTAAGGGGTGTAAGAAAAAATACACACAGCAGGGCTATATCTCTGTAAAAAAATCTTCATATTTAAAGTTTAGGTTTTAATTTATTTTTAAGATCTGAACTTTGAACACAAGCTATATTCACAGAGCCTTCGCTCTCTGATTAACAACCGTTCTGCATCGGAAAAGATAAAACAGCCGAAGAGTTTATTAAAAAGTTCCTAAAAATATCAGGAAAACTCATCTCTGGTGTTCTCAGGAAATAATCTGCTCAAAATTAATCAAAATCCCTATCTGGGTTCATTGTGCAGTTAATCAGTTGTTATGTACTCGTAATGTTATGCATTGAATATAATATGAAATATCCATAAAAAAACGTCTGAGTCAGTTTACTCAGGCAAAAGGTTGGGAACCACTGCTTAAACAGTTTGATCGGCGTCTCTATAAACAGCGATCAAATGAGACGATCAGGTGACGCATTTAATTTATTCCCCAGAAAAATTATATTCCGTCTGTCCCACACAGAGGTTTACTTGGGTGGGCCGCCCGGTACATTAGCAGCCGGCAGTTCATTTTAGCATTCTGCAAAGACACACAGAGAGAGAGATGTTATCTGGCTCACACTGTGAATATGTTACAAGCACAGACCAGGTAAAGCAACAGTTCAAAATAAGAAATGACCTTCTAGAGATAGCAAGATAGTTGTAAATTCATGATATATTATTATTTCTTAATTTTCATACTTAATATGTTGTTAAGAATAGTTAGATAAATAATACTACACGATAAATAGAAGGCTTCGAGTAGACCCCATGATCGATATCGGCTGATACTGCTTCCAGTGATCGGCCCCAAGAACCCTGATCGAAGCACCCTTACTAATATTGTTGTTTATTCAATGTTTTTTGAAAGAATGCCACATAAGCCCTGGAAGATAAACGAGGTCAACAGGTGAATCGAGGGTTCATTTTGTGGTCCAGACACTTCTGTAATAACAGCAGGACACAGAGAACTGTGAAAGTAAACCACTAAAGCGTGAATGTGTACGTGGTCAATAAAGGAGCACAAATCCATCACACTCCCCTCGCCTCAGGTGCATTATTCATGACTTCTTCTAGCTTATCTGCTCGCATGTTTACTACCAGCTGTCCTAGATGGTATCACAGTGCCATCTTATGTAGACCGCACTGGCTATAAGTTTGGCAATGTTGTTTTCTGTGTTTTTATCACACACTGGATCTATTTCAGTAGGAAATTGTATTAAAATTAAGTTTTTTATCTTTCTAATGCGCACGTTAGCAGCGAGCTGTTGCCTCTGCATTATCTGACATTTCTCCAAACCAGAGCTGCTAGGACATTTCGGAATTTGAGGGAAACGTCTGTGAAAAGATAACAGACAAGTCTTCAAATTCTGATTAACTAGAAGTTGTATGCATGACTATTCACAAAGGGTACATATTGTGGATAGAGGCTGGCTTGCTGCAAGTCTTAACAGTCTTTTTTATGTCATGTCTGTGTAATTAGTGTCTAATAATGCATCTTATTTAGTGCATATTTCTATTAACATGCATTATGTGCTTTTGCTGTATATACAATGCCGACGATGCAGTAAATTATTCTGTGACAGGTCCAACTGTACCCTCAGTGTGTCCTCATCTGGCTGCCTCGTCTCAGTGAGCGGCGAGGGCGTGGTCGAGCTGAAGCTGTCATCAGTGAAGTCGATGAGCGAGACCTCGCTTTTGGCCGAGCGCACGCCGGACCCCTCCCACGGCCGGAGCTTCAGACCCAGGGACACTCCCAGCCTCTTCAGCCCAGACGAAGCGCTGGTGTCGTCATCGTCGTCGTAATCGTCCATCACAGAGTCGTAGAACGGCTCTGGACACACAAGCAGACACCAGAGTCAAGAAACAGTAGCAGCATGTATATGAAGGAGGAGTTGTAGACTACAGGCAGCACAACTTACTCTTCAGCAGAACGGCAGGTTGGGGTGGACGAGGAGGAGGTTGCTCTGTTAAAGACAGTTTTAGACATTTAACTTACATTCACAGTGTGACTTCAAATGCCTCTAACAGAAGAATGAGCTCAGTTTTCTACATGATCAACATTGCGAGCTAGTAACAGAGAAGTACATGTACAAACACTGTAAGTAAATGCTATATGTTGATATATGTGTTTAAATTTATTGGTTAAATTTACTCTTGGAACGGTTGGGGAGTTTGGTCGGCCTCGCAATGCCCGAGTCCATTCCAAGGACATCAGGAGGGTCCATGGGGTTTCCCAAATACAGACTGAAAAGGAGCAGACAAGAGGTAAACCAGATTTTATCTATTATTTCTTTACTACCTCGTCCTTTATAGTTGCTACTATACGTTACACAGTTGTACACATTTTACTACTGCAGTTGCTATTACTCTGGACATTGAGGCTTATTCAGTTCTTGCAACAGTTGTGAGGTTTCTCTGAATTTGAGTGTTCGTTCTGAAAAGGAACAAGTACAACATCTGTTGGTGAGCTAGAGGTAATGCACTGCTGCACTGCAGTGGACGATAGTGGAAGAAGTTGAGCTCAGATGTTGCAATACCACAGTGTAAAAATGCTCTTTAAGAAGTATTCAAAAACTTACCAAAGTAAAAGTACATAAGTATTGGTATCAAAATAAACTTAAAGTACTCAAAGTCAAATGCCATTTTCAGAATCATATATATTCTACTCCAGGATTATAATTAGTGATGCATTAATATGCAGCTGATCAGTGGTTGAAAGTTACTAAGTACATTTTTGAGGTACTTTAATTTGGAGGCAAATACTGTACTTTTTGCTTCACAACATACATTTGTACAAACATTAGTTACATTGTTGATTCAAATTAATAATACAAAATATAATCAACAAATGAATTAAGTTTATACTTGGACATTATAAAGGGAGATAAGTCTGCATTTTAGATTTGTTCTATTAAGAGGGTTCCAACTAGCGTTTTTCATTCAAAAAGTAGGCGTATAATAAGCATCATTTTAATCATATTTTGTTATATATCAAACTATATTTATCATTTATCATACTTTTTTAACCTTTATTTATTCAGGGAAGGTTCATCATATGTCATATATATATATTATGTTATCCTATTCCATACTATATGACACTGCACAATATAACATGTTATACTGTTTTATTACATTATGTACTACATTATATTTCTATATCAACACATATCTTATTTTAAAATTAACCCAAAAATAATACCTTCCATTTATTGTTTTATTTCACATTGTATGGCTAAAACTGTGTGGCGACTTCAGTTAGTGAGTATTATTAACCTGTCTATACGATCTGCATGTCCCCAGCTTCTGTGAGGGTCTGTGTCTCCGTGTCCAGTGTGGATAAAGGAGTGTTTGAGCGGTCGGCTGATGTCGTGGGCGGACAGACCGGCGACCGACGTCACCACGTGTCGAGGAAACTGACCGACACGCAGCGTCCCCCTGTTCTGACCTCGCCACCAGTAGTGCTCTGCCCTGAAAACACACATAAACGGACAAACACAGAGCTATGAATAGTATAATCTGTATGGGATTTTCCGGAGTGCATCATACTGCTTCTTTCACATGATTTCACTTATTAAAATGTAATTAAATGTGGAAATATCTTGAGACATGAGCAAAACACATGTGTGTCTGTCTGTTCGAAAGCCACAATATTTCTTTAATGAGCCAGTATCAGGACAGTAATTACAGTAATTTTCCACAATGCAAGGAATCCAATGTCGACAAAAGATGCATTTGTTGTCTTGCAGGAGTTATCCTGCACCGACACATGACTTTCACAACAGTCACACACTGACCTTCCCTCTATGATGGTGATGACGTCGTTCATTTTAATCTGGAGCTTGTCTTCCTCCTCAAAGTCCTGCAGCGCTCTCATATCTGTAGGCATAGTCTGCAAAACACATACACACTTAGAGTTTGAGCAAAAAGCTACACGAGTCCAATGAATTATTACTGTCATCAGCAGGAACATGGAGACAAACGTAGAAAAAATACTTCTGCCATTCTGTATGATGATGATTTATTTGTTTCCACTGGCTCTCCCTTCAGTGTCCTTTATTTGTCCCAGACATCACTTGAGGACTACTTTTTGAATGTCTAGAAGCCAACCCTATCTCATCCATTAACCACAGCTATTAAAAACATTATGCTAATCGCTAATGCTTAATTGTTAAGAGTAAGGCGAGCTGGCAAATGCTTCTTAAGTTACAATTTAAAAAAGTATCTGGTGCACCTTAGAATAACATCTTGATGTTTTTCAAGATTACTTCTACATGAATCATTTCAATCACTTCTCCAAAAATTCAAATTCGCCCCCTTATATTAACAATATATATTTAGCTTCTACTTCCTATGTCACACCAAGTCGTGTGACCCTCCCGTAGCTTTTCACATAGACTTTAGTCTATAAGTCATTTTAAACATTTCTCTTTCAGTCCTGCCAAAAGGAAACACAAGTTAACCCCTACTAGCAAGCAATTTTAGCCCAATGATTCATATAAAATATTTCTAATCTGGGAATCTATGGCCGAATGTACTGTAAGTTTTGTTACTGTCACACTTACAATAGCACACAGAATTTTGATTAATAATTCCAAATTTCCCCCTAAGCTGAGCTTGCAGATATAAACACAATTCTAAATGATCACATTAACCGTTAAAGTTACTGTCCACACTTTACAATAAATAACATTCTGTCCTCTCCTGGTTCACATTAACTGTTTATGAATCTCTGTCAGACATATTTACTGAATAATGCTGTAACTACAAGAGTTCATTCAGTTTTGTTTCAACTGTAACTACTGTACTACCTCGAGCAGGAAGTCTCTGAGGGCGACGAAGGTCGGTCTGTCCTCCGGTTTGGGGCTCCAGCACTGCAGCATGACGTTATAAATATCCTGAGGACAGTCGTCTGGTTTGCACAACCTCTCGGCCTCCACGTCAACCTTGTGGAGGATCTGCAAACAGACATAAATAACAGAATGCTGAAGAACTATTATTACCTGGTGAATTTTTTAAATTGCAATTTGCTCCAATTGTTTTTTGGTCTTTGAGTAAAAACTTCATATGCAGGAGCTGATTTTTTAAAATCAAAACCATGAATTTCTTCCTCCTTGAACATTTATGGTAAAGTAGAAAAGATGTGTGTGTGTGCATATGCATGCACCTGACTCCCATTAAGGCCCAGCCAAGGCTCCTGTCCATGGGTGAACATCTCCCACAGAGTGACCCCAAACATCCAGGTATCAGACGCGTGAGAAAAAGTACGAGACTTCAGAGACTCCGGAGCACACCTGGAGAGCAGCAAGGACGAAGACAGAGAAAAAATAACTGTAAAGCAACACCAGTCTGGAAATGATTTCAATTATGATTTGAGTTTGAATCACTGAGGTCTGAAACCGGGCTACAAAACTAAGAACCACATCATTTTGTGTGACTGGGATGCTCTTCTCACCATGGGAAAGGGATTTTGTGGCCCTCCTCCATGATGTACTGGTCGGTGTGTGTTGGCAGCGCCCTCATCAGGCCAAAGTCTCCGATCTTCACCGTGTCATTGGTGGACAGCAGCACATTGCGGGCAGCCAGATCCCTGTGGAGGAAACGCTTCTGCTCCAGGTAGGCCATGCCGCACGCCACCTACACACACATACACAGTACTAGTTACTAATGCTTCTACTCCACCACTATTTGTCTGACAGCTTTAGTTACTAGTTACTTTTCAGATTACAATTTTTCATATTCCTGCATATCTCCAAATTTGTTGAGTCTTTCTAATACCAGTGATATTAATCCAAAAACAACATGACAGGGAGCATATAGAGTACTTCAGTGCTAGGAGCTCAGTTTTGAATTCTGGTCTTTTACTTGTAGTGGAGTATTTTCAGTGTGGTATTAGTACTTTTAACTCAGTAACAGATCTAAATACTTCTTCCACCACTGGAAAGAGAGGGAGAGACAGATCTTCTATTCTTGCTAATATGAACCAGCTAAAAGTATAATTTTACAAGTACATTTTTGTAGTTTACTGATAATTATTAAAGTACTGCTTGATTGGTTTGTCTTCATCAATTTTCCTCATGAATGAATGACTTACATTTGAGAACAAAACTTCACGTTCTGCTGGATGACTTAAAATAACAGTACACTGAGGAAGAAATGAGCAGTGATACATCTCCGGGCACCAAATATGTGATGAAATGATCACTTCCTCTTCCTCTAATGTGTTTATCTTTGTGGTATTAACTGACCTGCACAGCGTAGTTACACAGAGAGGAGATGAGAATGTGACCCTGACGCTTTCTCAGACGATCCAACAGGGAACCCAGAGGGGCCAGTTCAACCACCTACACACAAACACACACAATACTGATATAAAACACTCATCTCATTATTGTTACATATCTAATTTGAGACTTGGATGTCCTCTTTTTGTGGGCTGTAAATTAGTAGGATAAGAAGTATGTATTAAAGTTGGTCTGTGTGTATTTGAGTGTGTCTTACCATCTTCATGGGCTGTGTGAGGACGATGCCGTACAGGCGGATGAGGTTCTGGTGGCTCAGTGAATGCATGGCATTCACCTCTCTGATGAAATCGTCCAGACCGTCTGAGTCTAACACGCTTGCCTTCAGACACTTCACAGCCACTGACAGCTAGAAAAAGGGAGGGAGAGATGACATCCGACAGAATAAACTGCTGTAATTCAAAATGATCCAAACAGCCTGTGGGCTGTGACAGGCTGAATTACTCAGAGTTCAAACGGGGACCGCTTTGTAGTTTGGGTCTTTAATTTGAGAGCCAACATCGGGCAAGTCATTACAACCATGCCAAAACACAAACCCCAACCTTACTGCACAACATGAGCTGACATTTCATACATTCTTAGGGTGGCAAAAACACGAGCAAATGAAGAAAACATCTTCACCAATATGACAACACGTGCAGCATTTAGAAGATTTTTCGTAAAGAATACAAAATACAGACTGAACTGAACACAGAAACCCTGCAGGTGGCACAGACAACAACAGAAACTGGTTCCAGGGGACACTAAAAAGTTGTATTTGGTTGTGTTTTTTTCACTTTGAAGCATTTCTTCCTCTTTTTTCTAAATGCTGCGAATATGTCGTCTAGTTGGTCAAGATGTTTCCTGAAGTCGCAGTGCTGGGCTATTGTACATTTTGCTCACTACTCTCTACTGTTTCTCTGTGACTCACCACTCCGCCGTTGGGTCCGGTCCACTCTCCTCTCCGCACCACACCGAACGTGCCGTCACCGAGCCGCTCGAACAGCTGCAGCTCCGACTCTCTGATCAGGCAGGTGAGTGAGGCACCCGCCTCGCTAGTGGCTGGTGGCGTGCTCGACGATGCCCCCTGAGGGAGGGTCGATACCCCTTGGGCGTCTGCGTCGGGTCGTTTCACTGGAAACACCTACAGGCCCAGGAGCAGAAACCGGTGACTGTGGGTTTCATTTTTGTGCTCATGAACACCAAGATCTTTATTTGATTTGATCTATTTATGGAACACAACAATGCAAGGGTAAAGTGAGAACACCTTTTGATTAGATTGATCTTTATTGTCAGTGCACAGAGTACAAAGACTGTTGCGATGTTGCAAATGGGAGTAATCGTCAATTCAAAAAGACACACAAAGCTTAACAAGCTGCTATGGTGTTTTGCTTAAATAAAAAAAAAGATGTATTTTCTCATTTTATAAGATACATTTTACAGTAATAATAAAGTTCTTTAACTTTCTCTAAATATACACAGTCACATGTGAGAATTTTGACAGCGTTGGAAGTTATCTTGTTTAAAATTTGAATAAACATGTCAGTTATCTCATTTGGCCTTCAAACGTCTGTCCAGTTGGTGGTGAAACACTGAGGTTAAGAAGTCAGAGAATAAATGTTACAAAATACAAGCCTGTGTGTAATCAAAGTAATGTGATACTTTACTGATCCTGTGAGGCCTTTTTTCGTTGCAGGAAAATTAGCTGTGTGTGTGTGTGTGTGTGTGTGTGTGTGTGTGTGTGTGTGTGTGTGTGTGTGTGTGTGTGTGTGTGTGTGTGTGTGTGTGTGTGTGTGTTTGTGCTTGCAGGACACAGTGTTACTGCACCTTGCTCATCCAGGACTTGCGTTTATAAAGGGCTCTCCTCCTCTTGACTGCCTCCCAAAGCCTCCTCTGACCTGAACCGACACAATCACAATCACAAACAGTAAATACATTTTATATTCAGATTGTATCCAGTGAAAGTACCAATACAAAGATAAAAAAAAAAAAATACTGCATCAAAACTACACAAGTATTATCAGCTGAATCTTCTTTAAGTATGAAAGAAAGTACTCATTTCACCCCTATTATAACACGTTTATTAGATTGTTATGCATTAATGTGTAAACAGCATTTTTGTGTTGTAGCTGTTAAGTCCAGGTGCCTCCAGCACTCACAAAAGGGGTTGTGAAATTAATGGGAAGGGAGAGACGATAAAGTTCTGATACACAAATAAGTATTCAAAGGAGTTCAGTTATTCAAATGAAACTATCTGAAAAGTTTAAATAGGAAATGTCTCTGCTGCTAACAACTCATAGACATCTGAAATGAGAGAGGTTACAAGCCAAAAACTTTGGAAACTGCTGGTTAAATCTGTAACAATGTGTTATATTTTATAAGCTTATTATATTTTCATGTAAAATCTTAAATGTAGAAAATTTCCATCTCAACTGTACTGGAGTAGAAGTATATATAGTACATGTGGTTTAGTACACATGCCTCAAAACTGTACTTAGGTACATTGCTTCAGTAAATCCTACTTAGTTACTTTCCACCTTACTTATAATAAGCACAAATAAACCTGAATTTCTCCATGGACTTTATTTTAACAGCAAGAAGTGCAAAACTCAACCCCAGTGATGCAGAAATAACAGATATAACTATAAATAAAGGGAATTGGAGATACAAAAGATACATATTTTAGTCACTGTAACTCCAATATGCACTAGATGTCTGGAGTAAAATGGAAACATGTAATAGTCTGACGTACCCGGGCGTCCCATGCCGATCTTCTCCAGGTCTTCATTCTTGACGTAGTCAAAGTGCGAGAGCCGTGTGACGTTGAGCTCATCACGGATCCGCAGGAAGTACTGCTGCAACTGCACATCAGTCAGCAACTCCAGCAGCCACTCTGTCCCCTCCTCACACTGCATCTGCACACACACACATTCACCTTGTATCACTACACATGTGAGGACACATAGATTGACAAGTCATTGTGCTCTAGGTGCATATTAGAATCTCATTTTAATGTGTTTAGCTTAAATTATTCAGTTATTGTTAGAGTGTTAATGGACACAGTAATGTGCAGTGGAAATGTAGCTAATCTAAATTATGGATGATAGTGCCAGCAGCTCAATAATAATAATTTTCCCCAAAATGTCAAACTACTGATGTATGCTAATTCCTTGCAAGATTTCTTTTCTTTTTTCACCCATCTGGATCTCAACATGATGTCCCACTAACTGTGTTGTTAGTGGGAGTGAGAATAATTTACCAGGAAACAACAAAATGGCTGGAATTCACATTATTTAAAGCTGTCAATGTGTTGGTCAATCACTTTTGAGATTTTGTTTGTCTTTCTAGCTCTGCGTTGACATGTAATTATATTGTGATTTTGACGGCAAATAATACTTATATCAATATTTTAGATTGTAAATTTGTTAGCGGGAGATTTTATGGTAAAAAAAATAAACTTGTCAGTGCTCTCTGGTGGACAAACGGGGTAACTGAGAAACAGTTTTCTGAAATCATCAGACATATTTTAACGGTTTAGCTCCACACATGCACACATCCTCAGGTGAAGAAATGAAACAAAAGACAAGTGATGAAACAATTAGTTGATCTGCGAAAAGTGAAACAACAATTCTGACAATCAATTTATTCTATAAGTCATACATGAAGCAAAAATGCCGACCATTTGCTGGCTTCAGCCTCCAAAATTAAATGATTGGATGTTTTTTGTGATGCATTTCTATTTTTTCATTTTCTTTGAATTAAGCTTTTATTCTGGTGAATTACAAGATAATTTAAAGGCCCAGTGCGTAGGATTTTTCAGATTGCCGCCAACTGAATACCCCTTGCCTCACTATCCCGTTCCAAGTGTGTAGGAGAAACTACGGTGGCCATGAAACCTGCAAAACATTTCAACCGTTCTGGGCTACTGTAGAAACATGAAACGAATCATTCTAAGGTAACAAAAACACGATTCATATTTTCAGGGTTAAACACTTATGAAAACATACTTTTATTCTGCCAATAGATGCCTCTAAATCTTACACACCAGACCTTTAAGAGCTTAAAAAAAATTATTCATGAAACACAAATTATTCATGAGAACCAATCAGGGGTGACAAGAAGACATTTGTTTGTTTAAATGCTCACAAGCTAAGGTTGGGCAAGACTGGACTAAACGATGAATTAAAATTAAAATTAATGTCGCATATAGTCTGTAGCTGCAGCCCTACAACACACACACACACACACACACACACACACACACAGTGTAATTACAGAAAGAGAAGAATCACTGCATGTCTAACCACAACTTCAGACTTTACCATTTGTCCCCCGGCACTTTCTCTGATCCTCCCGTCTCTCTCCTCTTCGTCCTCCTCCTCCCCCTCCTCCTCTCCTCTGGTGTAGGGGAGTCGCTGGTACATATAGCTCTCCCCCATACTGTAGCAGCTCCTCTTGTCCTTCGCCTTGTCCGTCTCTCTCTCAACCCCCCCTCCTTTTTTTTTTGACTCTCCTTTTCCTGTCTAGCTGCTATTCAGAGGAGGCGTTAGCTCTGCCTCTCCGAGTCTAGTTTGCTAATCTCCTCTCGGCTCTGTGACCTTCTCTGCTCAATCGATAGGCGCATGCACGCACACGTACGCAAACGCAGCGGGAGGCATTTAACGCCACTCTCTCCAGCCGTATTGCCTCAAGCTATCTATAAACTCTCTCTGTCTTCCCTCCCACTGGTTCTTTCTCTCCCTGCTGACTCACGGCTTCCTGCATCGTCGGACACCTCCATACTTCCCTTTCTCTCTCCATCCTTTCCCCTCTCTAGCTCTCTCATCTCCTTCTGGCTCAGCAGCCGAGCCCACTGTCTGATGTTAAATAATTCAGCAGCACTAACAAGAGGGTGAGGGGGAGGGAGAGGGAGAGGGAGATCTTGGAAAGGAAGGAGGGGAGAAAATGAAGATACAAATAGGTGGACAGATGGATGGGTAAATGGATGAATGGTCAGGCCAAAGAGAATAACGGGGAGACAGTTCCCAGCATGCTTTTGATAGATGATGACATGCAGATGGTACTGCAGCTAAGCTTGACATCACCGCAAACAAGGATCAGAGTTTCTAAAGGAGAGATATATGATGTGGTAAATGTGCTTTGAGCTGATTTTGCTGGTTCCAGTGTGGTTTTATACCGTTGTAAATGTATTATTTTTAGTGTTTTGGGCTGATGGTTGGACAAAACAAGCAATATTAAGACATAACTTTCATCTTCAGGCCAATTTCAGAGGAAACAATTGATCAATTATTTAAATTAATTGTTGGAAAGATATGTCGTTTCATGCCCGGATCCATTATTTATGAGATTTATCAAGAAAAATTGTCAAACAGTTGCTGGTTTCAGCTTCTCCAATCTGAAAATTGCTGCTTTTTTCTTTGTTTTATTCATCACTGCAGACCAATCACACATTGGACACAACCTGTGCCAACGTCTCCCCTCTGATACAAATTTATTTCCACATGACACACAAATCATTCTGATGAAAAGTTACCATCAGTAATAAAGTGTCAATGACACTAAAACACCAAATTACCCTTAAATGATAAATTCTATATTTAAAGGTTAAAATACACACAGTTTTTATCATCTATCACTATAAAATATAAATCCTGCACGTTGTTAATACAGCATACAGTATATGTATAGATGCTCTATAAACACCTAATTCATGCATATAAATTACATTTCCCATTAAATATTCATTCATTTGCACTGTTTGTATTGTTTACAATACATGAGACACGACTTGCAGATACACAGTGTACTGTTGTTTTTTATAGGCTATATATTTATTATATAATTATAATTATATTTATTTTTTCATCTGCTTGTATGCATATAATAGTGTATTTTTTACCTGTCGTTGTTCAGCTTTGTTGTCCTTGTTCTTAGTCTATTTCCGTGTAAGTAAACTGAGAGCAACTTAGAACTGGAGTCAGATTGCTTGTATGCAGAGGAGGCAGAAGCACACACGTTCTGATACAGTGCAGATATTTGTGTAAAAAAAAAAGAATTATTTCACTTCTTTACTCAAGTAAATGTAAAAAATTAAAAGCTCTGAAATTTAAAAAGTAAAAAGTACTCTCTTGGTTTCTTTGAAGAACATTTCTACTGGCTGCTTCGACAGGTCTGGATGTTTGGAAAGGCGAGCAATAATGCAAAATAAAAATCTATATACAATTCCCCTCACATGCATTAAAACTAAAGTAATGTGCCTGAAAATGTGAGTAGAAAGAACAAATATTTGTGTACAAATGTAGGGAGTAAAAGTAAAAAGTTGTCCGGAAAATAAATATTAAAGTAAAGTACTGATACCTGAAAAGATCCAATTAAGTACAGTAACAAAGTACTTGTACTTAGTTACTTCCACTTCTGCTTGCATGTGTGCACATACTTGTAAATACAGTATTTTATGAGCAAATACCTGAACATCTAATGACATTACCATCAGCCTCAGCTCTACTTTTGTATCAACATTTTACTTGCCAAACATTAGCACAGTGTTTCTCAAACTTTTTACACCGCGTATCACCTCAGAAAACATTAGGCTCTCCAAGTAACACCAATACGACCGGCGTTAGAGTACAGTAGTGTAGTAGCGTAGGCCGGCCCTGTTCAGCTACAGACAGGTCACACACGATTTGCAGGTTTATTCCAAAAAGAAGATTATTTATTGTTGATTCCTGAATGGAACCGCTTCAACAACCCGAGCTAACTGGGTGGAAAAGGGGTATTCCTGGTCCACACTTTTTTTCCTGTTTGGAGCCACGATTGCAGTGTTTTTGAACATTTCACTATCTTACCATCACATTTTAGCTCGTAACTAATCAAACTAAATCTTTTTTTTTCCTTTATTTTAATCACACAGGCTGTTGCAGACTACCCAATCACATATTTGACATCGGGGTGACCTTTCACAAAGGGATAAAATGAGGGAGATCTGAGTGATATTACAGCATTAACTGAGCTCTCATCAGTGTGTTTGATGAAAGCTCATCCACTGCTTGCATTGAGCTTTTGCCAAAGATACAATTTACACATAATCCAATCTGCCTGATCCCGTGAGCTTCATTCCAAATATAATTATCTCAACTGTCTTACAGTCAGAACTAATATGAATGTGATTCTGCTGCCTGTTTGAACAGTGTGAGGCGTTCATTTCTAGCGTCTGCTGAGCATTTAGAAAAGAGGGTGAAAGGATAAAAGAAAACAAAACACAAATAATTGAAAGTGTAAACTGAGAGGGAGAAAGAAACTGTGACAAGAGTGAGATGCCGAGCTGTCACCATTACAAACGTTTGACGGCTAACTGGTGCATGAACGGCAGCAGCAGCAGCAGTAGTGTGTACAATATATTACTGCTCATGTGTGTTTATGTGCGTGCATCTGTGGCCTAAATGAGCACCAAATGAGAGCTTTCATCTCTCTGCGTGCACGAGTTTTATCGAGGGCGATGCTCCAAATATAGGAAAGCTAAATTTAGCTTACGTTCGCTGGCAGTGAAGAGTGGAGCGGTGTGAACGGAGCTACTTCACTTTGCTCTCATCTCAGCATCACACATCTGAGATTGAGTCACGACTGTCAACAGATCCGCCGATGCTTGCCTGTATGACTGGGATTGATCGTGCAGCTGTGTTCGCGGTTTCCTCGCTGCACCGTCCACCTGCTTTCACATCTGACTACATACAGACTCCAGGAAACAGCAGTTTTCACTTCCTCTAATTTGGTAGATTTACAGTTGAATCAGAGGGAAAAAACAAGGAAAGGATTTGTTCGAATAAACCCTAAAACCTATAAAATATTCAATTTACTATCATATTTGACAAAGAAATACAGCAAATGATCATGTTTGTGAAGCTGGAACCAGAGAAAGTTTGGCATTTTTGCTTTAAAAACAACTGAAAATATTAACAGAATAAAGTATTCTACTTCTTCCAGCCCCGTGGATGTGTGAGTGCAGTAGGGACGGATACAAGGAACCAGTCTTCTCTACTCTATGTGTGTTGATCCGGTCTCACCTTGCAGACGTCTTCTGGTGGATCAGGAGTTGAAAGCTGCAGTCAGGAGTGACTGAGGTCACTGGAGGTCACCTGGAGGAGGCCATCGATGGAGAGACCCCACATCTACACACACATTAAGACTGAAGATTAACCTTTTTATAATATACAGAAGATATTAGAAAAAGTCACAGTTTTCACACAAATTATTAATAAACGACAAATACTCCAAGTAAACTTGAGCTCCGTCTGTCTCAAAACGGAAAGTCGTTCACAGCCAGACAGACTGAAACCGACTGAGGAAGGGACACAACACAGACGGAGAAACAGGCAGACCTGGCAACCAAGAGCAGGTTTTATGAACCAGGGCCCACACACGTTTTTTTATTTTAATAACACATTTATTATTATTGCTTTTTACTAGAAACCAATGTTGGGCAGTAACAGTAATAATATTACAGTTACACCTCACAACATTACTTTTCTTTTCACCTCCTACTGATTTGAAATCCAACCATCCAATCACATGCTTGGATTCATTTTCTGTAATCATGGAGAGAAACTAGTTTGGAAGATGAAACATTCAGCAGCTGGAAATATTCACATTACTTTGATTTCAACCAACAAAACTGGATTTTAACTGTCAAAAGTCTGAATTTTAGGGAGACACAATTACCAATTTTGTGGGGAGCAGCAGAAAAAGGAACAAAACTAGTAGTGTAACTAATTACTGTTGGCAGGGAGTAATAAGTAAACTTTACATTAGTGGATTGATGGACAGAAGGGGAAAAAAGGACTGGAGCACATTGATTGATTGGCATTTGTTTTAAGGTTTGGAGAATCTGAATCAGAGTCAAAAATCAACCAACACTCATAATTTATACAATAAATATTTAAATGTTTCTACTTTTAGGCCACCAAAATAAACCAAATACTGGATTCTACAGAGTAGAAGTCCTGACGGATGTTTTTTTTATATATATAAATCTACTACTACAACTTATTATTATCTACCTATTTACATACCACAATCTCATGATCTTCATTTTGGGAAAAATATTAAGCACAATATAATTATGTTTTTCATTTTTTTACTAAGTTAGTTTATTGAAATGTGTTTTTTTTTTTTAATGACAGTTTTCATGGTACGTACACTGGTGACACAAATCATCAAACAATTATACAAGAAAAACATAGTACAAATTAGTGTTACGCACCATTAAATCAAATGCAAATTCCTTGTATGTGAAAACCCACTGATTCTGATTATAAAGATAATTTAACTGAACTTGAACTTAATAAATATATAACGTTTTACAGATTTTATGTGTGCGGTTGAGGTTTTCTGGGGGTGGAGATGGGAATAAAACTCATAATTTATCATTTTTACTACTTGAATCTGACTGTCTGACTATTAAAAAGCAAAAAACAGCTAAGACCAGTGCACATATATAGTGTGTATCTGCAGGGATTGTTACAATTACAGGTTTAAGTTATAAAGTGAAAATAACTCAAATGAAACCGGTCAAATAAGGAGAAAAACAGAAACAGAAGGAGGATGGAGATCTATGTATCTCCTAATGAATGCAGCACAATAGACCTTAATTGATCAAGCTGCTGCCTGCCTCTCTCTCTCTCACACACACACACACACACACACACACACACACACACAAAGCTGATTAGCCTGCAGCCTCGGTCACGTTAGGTTCCCACCTGCCTGTGTGTCAGTGAACACCTCACCGCGAGAGAGAATACATCTTTCTTTTAGTTGTTTATTGGTTGTATTTTGTTTTGGTGCAACACGTCGCATCTTCCACACAACAGAGAGAAAGAGAGAGAGAGAGAGAGAGAGAGAGAGAGAGAGAGAGAAAATACCCCCGGTATACCGACCTGTGAAGACGGGCGCTTTTTGCGGGAGAGCAGTCCCCTTCCTCCGGTCACTCGGGTGTTGCAGCCCCGCGGGAAGCAGCAGCTGTTTGTATCGGGAAACGTTTAAAGTCAGCGGATCCGTTATCTCTCTCTCTCTCTCTCTCTCTCTCTCTCTCTCTTTCTTTCTCCTCCGTTAATTCCGGGGACGCTCCCCAGTGCGCCTGCCGGGATTTATGAGCGTCACAGTGCGTAACCTGACGCGCCAATGTAGCGCTCGCTCCAGTTAACGGTGCTGGCCCGGAAAAAAAAACATATAATTGCACTTCCTGTTTGGGCGTTGGGGTTTCAAAATAAAAGTTCAGACTTTGGAAAGTGTTTTTATTTTTTATTTTACGTTTGATATAGCTTACAGCATTTATTTTATTTTATTTTATATGTATTAATTGAATAAAATGTAACTTAGATGCAAACCGTAACACATTAAACTGGAACAAACTACAAACACAAAGGACATTTATCTCCATTTGCTCCTATAAAGTTGCATTTATCTACTAATGACAATACCTTAAAAATATGAATAAATAGTAATAGAAAATGAGCCAAAACTCCTCACAGACAGATGTTAAAAGCTGTTCTGTAAAACAGCACTCCAGTGATTGGGACACGTTACTGTAGCTCCTTTGGTTTGTCAGTTTTCCACTCTGTGCATTATTCTGTCCTCAAAAATAAGCAATATTCACCTAAATACACATTTTCACAACTTAATCCACATTTTAATGCTGCTGTCCAATCAGTACGAGCAGCAATTTGCTGCAAACCATTGACATTGTACGCATGTATGTATGTATGTAAGTAAATATATATGAGCTGCAAACACATAGCAATTAATGTTGTGGGTTTATTTGTTTTAATTATATAAATATGTGTCTCTTAAGTGGCACACAGGTATGTATAATGTAGATATAGTGCAGCAGGTGACTGAGCCTGATATTTGAGGATTAAAGCAAAACTACATTTTCTTTGGTGAAGATGGGAAACAAAATCACAAATGTACCCATTTTGTTCACTTTTGTTTGTTTTTGCATAGCAGACTACAAATTGTCCTTTTAATCTGAAAAGCAAATCACAGGAAGTAAAAGAATATGAAAGAAGAATGGCATTTTTATAAAGTAGCTCTGTTGCTGTCTGCTAAATGAGTTTCTCATAAGATTTCCTAGTTTCTGAACATTTTAAGGAAGAGGATGCAATCTATTGACATTTTCTGCAGGACTAAATAAAAACAAAAGAATGCAAAGAATGACAGAAAAAGGAAAACTGTCCAAACAACCTCCATCTCTGCAGTGAATTTCTATTATGTATCAGAATAGAAACTAAGATCAGACGTAGATTTACTGGATGCTATAAGCCAAAAGGGTTTATTAGACTTTCCTGCTGAACATGGAGATCACAGATCACACACACATCTTCAAGATCTTTTCAAGTACAGAAATCATACTGAGCATGTTGTGAAACAAAGCATTTCGACATAACATACAGTATTTTAGTTGCAGTTAGCGGAAAATGTAGGATGTAGGAAAGTAAAAACAGGATATAACAGCATGAAACTCAACAGAACTAACACAAGGAACCAAATCTATTCAAACATGTAACAATCTGAATAATGAAACAGTGACATTTTGCTCTAGTGTATATTCTAAAAAGGAGTTCATATAATGGTTTCAATAGGGTTGACTGATTCTGCTCTTTTAACATGTCTTATTATTAAACATTTGTATCCAGGTTCAATCAATTGAGGGTGCAATAATAATACATTTTTTTATATTATTTATTCAATTTTTTTTGTCCAGAGGCCTGACAATATTCTGGGAAAGCCACTGGGACTTAATGGGAAGACAATGGTATAATAAATATCATCCAGCAGCAAAAATATCGTTTTGTATCTAAAAAAACAAACATTAGTTCAACCCTAATTTGAACGTTTTGTAACACGGTCCAAGTCTGTTGAGCTACATCTCAGTAAAGCAATACAGTAACATGCAGTGAAGAGGAAATGTGTAACATGCAACGAGAGCTATTGCGGCTGCTTGTGGAGTGGATTTACATGTAGGCGAAGCATCTGAGGCGTTTTTAAAGTCACTAACACACAGAAACACTGGCATGGTTTGGAGGCAACGAGCCCGATAGACCAGAACCGATTCTACTGCAGAGAGGTCGAAAGCATAATACAGAAATGTGAGCCGCACCTACACAAACACACACACACACACACCTAATCCGGAAATAAGAAGACAAAAAAACCAAAAAATAATTAAGTATAAAACTCTGGGAAACACTGTCCCCGATAAGTTGTTCCACCCGTCAAGTGAAATATGAGAGACACTGCTCCCGATAAATACACATGTAAAACACACACACGCACACACACACGCACGCACACACACGCACACACACACACGCACACACACACACACTGGTAGGCAAAAACTACCATCACTGCTTGTCATTATGGAAGGCACTGCTTCCGATAATGGGGTTTTAATTATGGAAGGCACTGCTCCCGATAACTTTATCATTATTAACTGCTCCAAAGTAGACTGTGCAACATAAATGGCTTTCTTGCAACTTATGGAACCAATCAGCTCAGTTGTTGCGCTAAAAAAAAAAAAAAAAAGGTGGTGTTTTATAATGTTTTGTCAAGTTTCTAGATGGCTTTTTGAGCATCTTTTCATTTTAAATTTAGCATTCAGCCTGCTAACAAGTGCAGAATACATCAAGCCAAACATCATCTCTGGGCTTGTGGTATATAAATAAAATGTTTCTCTTCTAGTTTTCTAGACAAATTTAAATCCTGACACTAGATCAGGAAAAACTTTTTTTCTAGCCTTAGTTTCTTCCTTTTAAATGCTTTTTAAATAACTATTCGATGACAGAGTGAACGTGCAGTACTTTCTTGTGAAGTAATATTAGCAAAAATCACCATGTCAGCTGGAATCTCCACACAAAAAGGAAGAAATGAAGGCTGCGAAAAATAAAAATCTCACTTTATCAGGGGCTCCATTTTGTCAGCAACAGTTGAGGAGTCATTTCTGTAGCAGATGCTGCCGGAGGATTAGACAGTATAACCGTCATAATTATGGAAGGCACTGCTTCCGATAACGTCGTATAAAAAGACAAACGATAACTTTATAGTGGGCACTGCCACTGATAAAAAAAACTTAAGTATAAATAAGGTTTCTCAGTGTTTTGATGGCAAGAGGTCTCAGCGAAGGCTTCGACTGGTCCGTGTTGGTTTAGAGGCAGATTTGTCAGTAGATTTTTGTTTCTTCAAGTATTTTGTTCACAGTTTTTAGAAGGTTTTTTATATTTTTCTACCTCCTCCTGGATCTTTGAGAGCAGAACGCCCCCCAAAACAACATATTATATGCCTGTTTTTTTTTTTTTTTTTTTAAAAGGGCAGGGCTTAGACCTCTGATTGACAGCTTGTGCTTAAGTGCTGATTGGAGCTCCTCCCTCTGCTCTACCTCAAATCTAAATTTCATCGACACACATACAGGACACCCACGCTCACACCTCCCTGTTTCCCCTTCATTAGATTTCGTCATCGATGTCCCAGATGTTTCCCACCATGGCGTTGGCGCATCCCTGCAGGGTCCAGGTGGCCAGGGCCACCTGGGTGTGGAGCTGCCCCATGTCGGTGGTCTTGGTGATGGATGCCAAAGTGTGGGAGCCCCGACCCAGCAGGAGGTGACGGAAGGGAGTCTCTAAGGGGGACACGTACGGAGAGAGGAGGGAGTGCTCAACCTGGAACAATAAAAGAATACTTTAGTACATCTGAGAGGAACTTTTGGGATGTTTGACCAATCACAATCATCAAGGGCAAGCCTATCTCTGACGGCTAAAGCTAAAACGAGTTAACAGTAGACGAGTCTCAACTAATCAGTGTTTAGGGCAGTCCCCCGAAAAGTTCGATTTGTATCATCAGTCGAGAAGACCCTGAATCCGACTCACGTGGAGTACACCTGAGTCAGTTTTTAGTTAAAAACTGCATGAATGATCAATTTAATGCTCTGTACAGTCTCTTTCAAATAGCAGTAGACTCACAGATATATGGTTATAGATATAGATTGTATGTAGCATTAAAGCTTGAGAGTGTAAACAGGGTCGCTATAGTCTGGACTGTGGTCAATTAACATGAGCTGCTAGCACTGTTTGAAAGCGATACCCACACTGAAGTCAGAGATATTCTGCCCTATGTAAACCCCACAGAGTATGCATCTTACCGTCATGATCCTGTCGTTGAGGAGCCGACAGGCCTCCTTGTCGTTTAGGTCAGTGTTGTCGATGTCTCTAATGATGCCAGAAGCAGCACGCTGGAACGAGCTGCATGCTCGGCCTAGCCAGGTGGGATTCACTTCCTTCAGCTGTCCAGACTGCAGAATATAAAAAGTCAAACATATACATACATTTCTACCAACAAACATATTCTGGTCTTTATAGCTTGATATCAAAACCATTATTCATATTTTCCTGAAAAAAAACTAAACAAGAACAAACAAGAGCATAAAAAAGGTGACCTGTGAGAGCTGGCTGACGCGTTTGTAGACCGGGACCACAGCCTTGCTGATTTCTCTGGTGTACCGTCCCACATCCAGGTTGAGCACGTGGTCGTGGATCAGTCGCAGAGCCATCTGCCCAGCAAACTGTGCCGCCACCGCCGTCACTTCGCTGGTGCGATGGTTGGTTTGGTAATTGAGGTGGTCCTTGTTGTCCAAGCTGGTGCCGTAGTAAGCGTAGGTCTCAGACTTTAGACACAAACACACAGAAGCAATTTCAAGACAGTTTACATAATAGAGAAAAAAAAAGGAACAGGATGTAACCATTGAAAAATGTAATTAATCTGACTAAAATCAACTAGATATCAGTGAACTGCACAATTATGTCCAATAACCTGCTATTAAGGACAACAAAGTATTTAGGAAAGGTGTACATTGCATTCTTTTTTATTGTTACTTCTTGTTAATGGAGAATAATGCGCACCCAACAACAGAACTGGGAGAGTTCATGGGGTCTTCTTTAAAAGGGGAACGGGGTAGAGGATTGTTCTAGACTGCAGACTTTTCATGCTAATTTTAGATGAATGCAGACTGACTGATTTTAAATGTCACTGTCTTAATCAGAGTAAAGTTTCAACATAATTTCTTTTCCCCCCAATTATATTTATATTAGCTGGTATCGTAGAGACCCTAAATTGTTTTGTGAAGAGATTTACTATAACAAAAAAAGAAGGAAAAAAAAAAAAGACAGCTGACCCAGAAACAGTGGTACATTGTGGGTTTGAAGATGACTGCCATTATGTACATTTAAAAAGCACCCATTACCTTAATCTGATCATCTGTACGAACACGTTAACAATCCCATTTTCACTTGTTGTGGATAAATGGAAACACACAGTGTATTATCAGTGAACATCGGCTATTTGTTTTGACTCACATTGGGGGAGATGAAGTGGAAAGAGATAGAGGGAATCCCAGAGAAGGCCAGGAAGGGATAGGCGGGATCGTCCATTGACATTGGTCTCAGTCTGCACACATTGTGATGATAAGTTATTGAACATAGCAATTAGCAACAAAAAGTCAAACAACTAATACAAAAAAATTAAACAAAGAAAAAAAAAAAAAGAATCAGCATTTGGGAATTTAAGCTTTTTACAGATTTTGAATTTATCAAATTAAGGCATCTGTAAACATGGCTTTACATACTGGTTATCTACTTACGTATTGGCCTCCCAGTTACTTTTTCCCATCATATTGTAGATGGTGTCAGAACCAACGGGACTCTTCACCTGTGTGGACGAGGAAAAGTTAATACAAGGCGTACTGGTGTGTGCAGAGCTGGGTCAGCATTAAGTGGGTGGTTGTTGTTGTCCTTACCGCTTTCATCGTTCTCTCGAGGAGCCTGTGGAGCAGCGGACTCGCCGAGGCCATAAAGCTCCCATGACCTTGTGAGGAGATAAACTCAGTCAAATCACTGAAGAACATGAGTACAGAGATAAAGTGCAGGTGTGAACTGTACTGACCCATGACCATTCCATCCAGACTTATGTAGGTGACGACACGTTTGTCAATAGAGGACATATAACCCTAAAAACAAACAGACGTGTTACAGCAGATTCTTTTCTTTTTTTGTCTGTGTGGATGAAAGTAGTGTAGTACTTACTTCCAACCACTCGGTGGCACCAACACTTCCGTACTCTCCAGCACTCCAGCTTGCAAACACCAAACTCCTCCTGGGCCTGAACCCGTCTGAGAAAAACAATAACAGTGATGTTATCTCTCAAAAACACACACAGACACACAGACACACAGACACACAGACACACAGTAACTGGGGGTCTGCACTAGTGATCAACTGAGGACACTGTGATACTAAACCTTCATCTATACTTCTGCTTCAAGGAGTTTTACCCCATCTCAGTGGTTCCTGACCGGGGGGGGGGGCAAACTCCCACTAAGGGTCGAGAGGACTTCTTCATTATAAAAAAGGGGTGTAAGTACATGTTGTTGTTTTAAATATACAACAGGCCTCCATCTCAGCATTCATTTTTGTGAAAAAATTTAGCTGTTATTAAATAATGTTTAGATATAAACTATAAAAGTTTATTGGCAATAAGTAAAGTTAAGCAATAAGGCTATATTCACAGAGCCTTTACTCTCTCCACATTAGAAAAGCATGCAGTTAAAAACAACCAAAGAGCTAATAGAACAATGGCCAAGCATCAGAGAGAAGATGTTTGTTGTTTACAGCATACAAAGTATGATTTATTACCGTTCTCCACCATCTCGTGAACAGCCCTGGCCAGCTGGACCAGTACCGAGGTTCCAACAGCGGCCTTGGCGTAACCTCTATCCCAGGCGTCTCTCTGAGCTCCCAGCACAACGTAGCGATCTGCAGATTCACATACGGACACCAAAATATTGAAAATGTACGATGACAAAGACAATAATCCCACTGTAGATGATGAGGAGGGAGGAAGCTCGGTTCTACCAGGATCAGTGAATCCTTTGATGACTCCGAACACATTGTGGATCTCCCTGTTGACCAGCACGTTGTTCACCTCGACAGTGATGTTCTCGCTGCCTCCCAGTCTGTAAGTCACCGACTTTAAGCCGCCTAGAAAACCACCGCTGGCTTCAGGACCGCCGATTTTCCTAAAGGGGGGAGGGGGAAGAGAGAGAGAGAGAGAGAGAGAGAGAGAGAGAGAGAGAGAGAGAGAGAGAGAGAGAGAGAGAGAGAGAGAGAGAGAGAGAGAGAGAGAGAGAGAGATTTAATGTAAAATATATGTTGTTGATTTACGACCCATGTGGTCACCTTGGAGAGTGTATGTAGTATGTGTGTCTGTGTGTCGCCTTACTGTAGAAGAGCTGTGGCCATTTTGGCGGTGATAGTCTGGGCTGGGATTTTGGGGAGGCCAGACGATCGAGTTGGGGGGAACTGGGTGTGGTTGAAGGAGGGGAATCCAGGGGTGTAGGGGTCCCCTGAACCTAGATGGACCTGAATGGGGGACAAACGCAAAAATCAAGACACGATACCATGTTGTACCGAAGCTGTTGGCTATTTTTACACCAGGCGACAAACAGTTGAGTGAAAACTTACATGTCCATAGAGTGCTGTGTCTGACACATAGTCGTAATCTTTAACGTCAGGGTAGATGAGAACAGCAGAGGCCCCCTTCGTGGCAACATTATCAACCTGAAGACAGGTAATCAGAAACATGAAAACAAGCTTCCTGAAGTTGAAAAAAGAAAGAAAAGTGACACGAAGCATCCAAGGGTGTAACATCAGCACACACCTGCTCTGCAAAACTGATGCTTCCAGCCCGGAGCAGCAACACGCTGCCTTTCAGCTCAATGCTGTTCTTCTGCAGAACATCCAGGTCCTCCTGGCGGCCATAGTTGCCGTACACCAGCTTCCCCTACAAACACAGGCTCAGATCAGACAGGCCACTGCACACAACAGAGCTAAAAGCAACAAATGGCCACAGTTTACTGGGCATAAAAGACTTTTATTGGAACTCTGCTACAGAGCTGATGAGCAAACTTAATTATAAAAGTGTGACTTGCCTGGACTTCCCCAGTAGCACTGTAAGCCAGATACCCTGTCGGCTTGAAGTCATCCGAACCAAAAAGGATGCGGTTTGGACGCTCGCTGCCAATAAAGGGACAAAAGCTTGTTAGAATGTCATCAATACGTTTTTCGTTACACCAATATTTTTTGGTCTTGTCACCGTCTCAGGCAATGTCTCTCTCCCTTTAAAGCGTCCTGCAGTGTTTGTTGCTTCAGTGCAGCCTTTACCTGAGTTATCGGAATGAACTGCTGAGGGTTTATTTCTCGCCTGTACATCTTTTGAGAGGATTACATTTATAAATTACTCTTATTTTTCTCCATGGGGCTTTTGTTACACTTGCAGTTGCATGATGAGTGTACGGCACCCAATCAAATCAGGGACATGCATAACGACACCCCTTCATTTTGAGTAATGTTGCTGACAACAAGCCAAACTGATACCAAACTGTGACCTTTTAAAAAGGAAAATAAAATGATCAGTACAGCAAAAAATGTGTTGCATCAACCTGTCTGGCGTCTGCAGCTGAATGTAGTGGATGTCAGTCCATGGATCCATTTCCAGTGTCTTAAATTCGTCGAACATGAGGTTCGCCAGTTTCATATCTTCCTCGCTTCCCGCAGAACGTTTGGGCAGGTCAAAGTCCCTGCAGGCAAACAAACACAACTTTGTCTCAGTTGAGTCTTCTGAAATGACACTTTTCACGTACATCTGAAACCACTTCGGAGAAAAATGGTCCACAATGACTCATAAGGATAACAGAAAGTCTTTCAGAATGACAGATACTGAGCTTTGTGATGAAAGTTTGTTGCATTGTGTCGAGGAAAAAATTGACTCCTCTCCCAAAGCTTGAAACAAAGATTTTACTTTTTTGACCATATCTCCCAGCCCAGACTTGGACCTTGAGTTATTTGTGTAACCATTAAAAAAAATGAATAAAAAAAAAAAAAAAAAAAGTGTTTTTTTTTTAGGTCAGCCAGTGTCATCTACTACCGTCATGGAACTTGTTGGGTATTATCCCTTACATAATCACACTCATTGTAACCTTCCCCCGCTGCCTCATTTGTATTCTCAGACTGTCTGCAGCATAATACTCTAAAAATAAAATGTTCTCTGATCCCTCTCATCCAGTTAATTAATATTTATAATTCATTTCCCTCTCACAAGGAGCTGAACAGCCCAAAACCATACCTGGCTGGTATAAAGTATTGACACAGTGACATTGGATTTACTTTGGAAGGACTATTCTTATTTTTTTTGTTAACATGAATCATTTACTTTTTAAAGAACTGGTTTGTTTGATTGTTGGGTGTGCTTTGTAAGGTGTGTTCTCTTCTTGCTTCACCTTCAGTATGAATACATAACTAGTGGTTTGAGGGTGTGTACATGAACAGTGTACCTCAGAGTTTGGTCAAAGGCCTGGCTGGTGAGTTTCTGCGTGAGGAGGTTGGTGATGTCCTTCCAGGCCAGCTGAACTGCAGGAGCTGGTTTAACAACAGCTGTCGCCGTCCCCGTCGCCGCCCCCGTCGCCGTTTCAGTGTCCAACTCTTTGCTACAGTTCACCAGTTCCACCCGAGGTTTACGGTGGCTGATATAGCCGACCAGGTAGCCTGGAGGACAAACAGAGACCAGGTTTTTTAAAAAAAAAAGGTTTCAATTATTTTAGAGCAGCTAACAGCTACTGATAAACCCACTAAGACAGAGAAAGTTCTCAACCCTGCAGTTCTCCGATTTTTTCACTGGTTTCCTGTGCGTCAAAGAACCGACTTTAAAATCTCTGATCTGTTGCGGGTTATGAACCATCCAGACCTTTCCGGTGGCCCTGGCCAGGTCTGCTTTAAGGAGCCTTTAGACTGCGAGATGGGCATAATGACATAAAATGACTTAAGATAGGACAATGATGAGTGTAGCCTACCGATAACAAATATCAGCAGGGTTCCCAAGACCAGGTAGCAAATGTTACGGCGGGGTTGATGCGGAGGCGCTGGCCTGAAGCTCGGGGAGCCCCCATCCTGACCCTCAGCATCTGTAGCGTCATCTGTGGCATCATCAGACAGTCTGACCTCAACGTGTCTCTCTCCGTCCACCGCCGGCTGGAGAGTGAACCTGCTGTACCGCTCAGTTTTAATCTAGAGGGGGAAAGATAAGAGCGGAAACTATGAGAGCAATGTGTTCCTGATCCCACAGCTGCATGGGAGGACGACGGGTGGCCAAGACGTTACAAAGATCTAATTATTAAAGCGGTTTATTTGGATAGCAGAAGTTGCAAAACGGAGCACTAGACGTTATTCTCCATTTAACCAATTCACTTTTAGATACAAAAATAATAAAAAAACACGTACACAAAAAGTGTCGAAACTCTGAATATGATTAACAAACACTCACCATGCTGTTAAATGCAGACCTGAATTTATCCATCGTTGCTGTTGTTGGTATTCTAAAAAACAGAGAGTGGAAGACGGAGAAGATCGTGAGTTGCAAATAAGGAAAGCAAAAGCAAAGGCAGAGGGAAAGATGACAGCCCAAGGGAATCAGGGAGGAAAGGGCGGAAGGGGAGGAGGGCAGAGGAAGTGTGGCGAGTCAGGTTTCTAACAAGAGTTGCTATTCAGACGACCATTAAGGGTTCCCGTAGGTCTGCAGGGCGGAGAGTTTTCTCTGTAAACAGGCGGACTGTTATTCGCCGAGGCTGGAACCAAAAACATTATTTTATATAGTCCGAAGTACGTGTGTGTGTGTGTGTGTTTTGCAGTAGTTTTTTGTATTTATTTTGCTGAATATGACAAAACAAACGTTCATATGAATTTTATTTTACATTCTATCCATTAACTATTACTATAACTATTGATTTTCCCAAAAAAGGATTTTATCCACTGCTACTGTACACTTTTAAACTATTTCCTGTAGATAAATATCGTAACACCAAATGGAAAATGCAGAGCTGAAACGATTGTAAAAATTATTAACAGATATTATTTTCTCTGTTTTATGTAATTGTGAACAAAATCCCATTGGGCTTTGGACTCTATGGTCAAACAAAACAAGAAAAATTATTCAAATTATTGTCAGATTAATTTAAGCTTTTTTTGTGTAGTTGCAGCCCTACATTGATCAAAAGGTTTCAGTCTCTTTATTTTATTTTAAACAAAACCGCCAAAGTTTACCAAGTTCTAGCTTGTGAGGATTTGCTTTGTATTATGTGATAGGACTGAATACCTTGGAGTTTGGGTTAAAAGAAGCTATTACTTTGGACTTTAGAGACTATTTTCTAATTTTTTGACACTTTAGAGACCAAATGATTGGTCAAGAAAATAATCAGTAGACTAAAAGATAATGAAAAATTATTAAAACCACTACACAACATTATTAGACACTCATGATTAGTGATGGCATCAGTCATTATATTAATGTCAATATCTTTTTTTTAATATATACTGTATATATTTTTGGATCACGATGTGGAAATGTAAAATCAAATTGATGTTAAGTGTAAATTATCAGATTATCTAATAAATGCACATTACTTTATTATTCTACACTTTATCGGCCAAATGATAAGTTAAAATAATTATTATTATATATAAAAAGACATTTAAAATCAGTGATAAATGTTATATGTCATGCAAACATGTCAAATGTCTTAAAGAACATCCAAGAACTGGTTTGTCCTTCACTTTATGCGCACACACACACACACACACACACACACACACACACACACACACACACACACACACACAAGACTTGGAAAAGGTGACCTTCTGGTCTTGTTTCCACATCATTGTAAGCTTTGTTTCATTTATAAACATGTCAGTGGCAGACTACGCTGAGGCATCAGTCACAGCTTAAAGAGGGCTTGTTCCAACTGACAACCAGCATCCCCAGCCCCCCCACCCCCCACGCCCCAATCCTCACACACTCCTCAACGGTATGAGTACAAGTCTCCTTCCTCATACTGTTGAGGGGGAAAGTGATGCAACACAGTTCTGGTTAAATGAAACATTTCCTCATTACCGAAGAAGCAGAAAATAACATCGGCTTCTTCCTCGATTGATAATATCTGTTGAGAGTATACAGATTATAGCTCATCATTTACAGATACAAAATAATGCAAAGATGGCAAAGACAATACAGCTAAAAGATAATAAATAGAAAGATAGAAAGACTTAAACAATTAATTTAATACTATATATTAGAATGCTTATTACAGACAGCCCAAAACCCAATAAATATTTAGTTCACAATCATATAAGACAAAGAAAATCAGCATCTCTTTAGTTTGCATTTTATGTCAGTTATAAAAAAAATAATTTTTAATTTAATTAATTATCAACAATCATTTTAACTCAAAATCAACCTAAAAAAAGAAAAAGATCCAGCATCGGTTACTGATGGTCCTCATGCAGACACAGGCCTGTCATACAGTCTAATGCTGCTATCTGCTGCTTGTTGTTACATTAATAATGCAATCTGTGTTGTAAGAAACCGTCGGAGGGATGGTTACACAAGTCATGTCTCCACACATGGAAGCTCAACATTTTCCTCCACAGTCTGGGACGACTAACCTGATCTTATTTTTAAATCTGGAGGAGAGCTATTCATGTTTTTTATGGATTGGGGGGGGCATAAAACCCCCCCAAGGATTACATTTACATAAGACATGTAACAACCAAACATGTAGCAGATGAATAAACGCGTTACAGGAAGAGGACAGGTGACTGCAGCATCGTTTTGTGGCTGAGCTAGTTAGCCACACGTTTGATATCCTCCGTGTCTTTTCAGCTGGACGAAGAAATTACATAAAAGGCAATGCGGCTCGACAACAAGAGGACTTCACGAGCTAACCGTGGATAAAAGAATAACACACAAAAAAAAAGGTCTGTCAAATGTTAGTCAGCTCACCTTATTGTCGCTCACACTCCGAGCGTTTTCCGGTCAATCAATGACAGAGCTGGCAGAGCTGGCCTTCCTTATAGGGGTGTGCTACTTCCGCAATACGTCACCTCGAAGCGGCACGTACACAGGGATGGGCGGTGACTGGCAGGAACCAGTGACAGCGGAGATAACCAGTGACTGCATAACCAGTGACTGCATAGATAACCAGTGACAGCGGAGATAACCAGTGACAGCGTAGATAACCAGTGACTGCATATATAACCAGTGACAGCGGAGATAACCAGTGACTGCATAACCAGTGACTGCATATATAACCAGTGACAGCGGAGATAACCAGTGACTGCATAACCAGTGACTGCATAACCAGTGACTGCATATATAACCAGTGACAGCGGAGATAACCAGTGACAGCGTGGATAACCAGTGACTGCATAACCAGTGACAGCGTGGACAACCAGTGACTGTATAACCAGTGACTGCATATATAACCAGTGACTGCATAACCAGTGACAGCGTGGATAACCAGTGACTGTATAACCAGTGACTGCATATATAACCAGTGACTGCATATATAACCAGTGACTGCATATATAACCAGTGACTGTATAACCAGTGACTGCATATATAACCAGTGACTGCATATATAACCAGTGACTGCATATATAACCAGTGACTGCATAACCAGTGACAGCGTAGATAACCAGTGACTGCATAACCAGTGACAGCGTAGATAACCAGTGACTGCATAACCAGTGACACCAGTGACTGCATAACCAGTGACAGCGTAGATAACCAGTGACTGCATATATAACCAGTGACTGCATATATAACCAGTGACTGCATAACCAGTGACAGCGTAGATAACCAGTGACTGCATAACCAGTGACACCAGTGACTGCATATATAACCAGTGACTGCATAACCAGTGACAGTGTAGATAACCAGTGACTGCATATACAACCAGTGACTGCATATATAACCAGTGACTGCATAACCAGTGACACCAGTGACTGCATATATAACCAGTGACTGCATAACCAGTGACAGCGTAGATAACCAGTGACTGCATATACAACCAGTGACTGCATATATAACCAGTGACTGCATATACAACCAGTGACTGTATAACCAGTGACTGCATATATAACCAGTGACTGCATATACAACCAGTGACTGTATAACCAGTGACTGCATATATAACCAGTGACTGCATAACCAGTGACTGCATATATAACCAGTGACTGCATAACCAGTGACTGCATATATAACCAGTGACTGCATATATAACCAGTGACTGCAGGACACATGCAGATCATCAACTCTCAGGGAAATGGTGGGTTTAATTTCTTGGTTTTTATCTACATTAATTAATGACAATTAAAATAAATTGATTGAATTTTGAGACCCTGATCCATTGGGAATAGTATTCCTCTCTATATTTTATCTAAATTAGGTGGCTTAGAGTTTTTTCTTGTCCTCAACTGTGATATTAATCAAATCCCTGTTAAAAAAAAAAGGAAAAAAAGAAAAAGAAAAGTCTGCTTTTTATTTCCAGGCTTTCTTATCTTGGTCTCTCAGCTACTAACACCATTATTCACCTCATAACAATTTTTTTGGAATAACAAGGACATTTAGTATAAACCCAAAATCTCTCTCTTTAAGGTTTCACAACAATATTGTGTTGGTAGATCCTCTATTTAATAGGTATGGTTATAATATACCCGCAACACCTGGGGATTATGCCAAATTTGTATGCTGTTTAAATCTCAGACAGGGATTAATGTCCCTTGTTTTCGCCAACATACACTACAATAGGCAACATTTGTTTTTCTAGTTGTTCTGGTAATAACACATCTATAAGAGCTCTGTTTCACCAAGGTATTACCTCATTATCATGTGTTAGTTCACATTTCAATTTGTGGATGATATAGTGGAGAAGAAAGCCTGGCCTCTACCTAATTAATACTTAATTACCAACAAAGTTAAAGATATTTCTTTTAAACTAGTCTATTCAGCAAAATACATTAATGTGTATATATAATATGATATAGTATAATGTAATATAATATTTGTCTCCTGTAAGATGGTGTACGGAAGAACACTTGTGTTTATATGATTCATCTTATTGTTTAACCTGCCAAATTCCATTTTCATAAATGTAAATTTACTGGTAGGAAACTGTGCTTTGTTGCCTTCGTCAGGGAGTTCAAACATCACATTTATTCTTTTCGACACTCTGTAAAACCAAAAGCATGTAAAATGTTTTTACTTTAAAAGATAATGAGAAATAAAACCACATGCAGCCTTCATTTATTCCTTGCACGCTGTTACTTATACTTGTTATTCCAGTTTTTGCTGCTTTATAGTTCAGAGAATAGTTTTCTATTCATTATATTGATTTGACACCAGAGGTTACTTTGTGGAATAAAACTGTACTTTAAAGTCCTACTTTGTTAAACATATTCCCACTTAATTTTTCATTTATTTGTGTCAAGTATTTTCTATCTATCTGCAGAAAACTGTACTTACTCACTCAACCATGCCACTCTACTGACTCTGAACAGGCTGGACAGGGATTAATTAAATCAGGAAATAAAACCTTTATTGGATGAACGTGTTTTTGAAGTCGTTCCCAAACAATCCTCGCTATTCTGGGATGCTTGACAAATTTATAGCCTAATAGAAAATACTTGAAACTTGAAAACCTTCCTGTTGAGAATTACCAAAAATGACACCTCAGGGGAAAAGAATAGATAGAATAGGAACATAATTTTATACATAATTTTATATTTAACATATCTAAACATTTCAGCTATTATGTGACCTAGTAGTGAGGTTTAGACCCTCATTCCACTGTTTTAATGAAATTTTCATTCCAGGATGCAGAAAGATGATATGATATCAATAAATTAAGTATCTAGTTGTAAAACAAGATATTATTGTATATTATTATTGTTTGAAGCAAGAGAACATATATGTACTTATTTTGTTGTTCACATTATTTTTCAGGAGTTTGCTGCTCTACTGAATCTGAACAGGCTGAACAGGGGATTAAGTAGAACCAGGAGATAAATGATAAACAGATAAACGTGTTTTTGAAGTCTCTTATAGTTAAAATGACATAAATTTGATTTAAAACTGATGGGAATTACCAACAATTACACCTCAGAGAAATAAAAAAATGCACACCAATGTTACCTAAAACCATTTAATGTACTTTTTATGCCTGGGAAGCACCAACAAACTTAACTCTAACCTTGACATTAAAGGCCGTTGTGTCCTGAAGCTATAAGCACAGAAATACAGTTTGTTCAGGGTGGAGTTGGTGCCTTTGACCTTTTTACCACACTAATTCCTCAAGGTAAGATGACTTTGAATTGTTTGCTGTGTTTAATCCTATCTGGCTAACTGTCACAGTGTTTGCGCATCCTACACGAGTCGGCTGCGCACTCTGGCCGAGCATATTCTGGTTTCTGCAGCTCTATTTATTTAATGCTGGCACAATAGATCTGTAGTAACCCAGGCGGAGTTATATAACCACTCAATTAGTTTATTAGTCAACTGTATTTATTGGTAATATACAACTTTAATCAACCAAGATGTTTGTTAATGAGCTCCCATCCATATTACTTTTATTGTTATAGTTATCTACCAGACTCTACCAGGGGGTTGTCAAACGTTTTCAGATTAATTAATTTGAATTATCATGATAAAAAGAAAAGATATAAGATGTAGCTTTGTGGATCCCACAAATTTGCTTGATACGGCAGCTCCACATACAACACAAAGACAACAATAGATAAGAAAATACATAAATTAAAAATAGAAAAGGAGAAATGTACGCCTTTTATATATTATATATATACAAGTATGTTGTATATGTTTGATGGAACACAGAGATACATGGTGTGTAGCATTATACAAAAAAATATTGCTTTAAAAGACGGATGATTACAGCAGGAGGTGCAATAAAAATAACTGCACATGAAAAATAATTGTACAGTGTGAGTATAATTCTTTATATATATATATGTAGGTCTAATTGCACAACACAGTATAATAATCTTAACAATGTGTATTAAAAGATTTGTAGTGGTGGCTACAGGCCAGATTTACAGTAACATGATCTCCCTCTGCACTGGTATCACAGATGGTTTCACACCCGTCATCTGTCGGTGCAAACTGTTGCAGAACAGGACTTTGATACACTTTAAAATGTGGGCATATGAAACATTCGAGTCGGTGACTGCAAGGGACTGTATGAAAATGAAACTCACTAATGCTAGGAAGTCCATCTTTTCAATAATGGGCATGTGTCAACTTAAAAATACTTCATTAACTTAAATGAATTGAAATTCTGTAATTTATCCCTGTCCAGTTCAACTTAATTTCATTCAAAAAGAAAAGTCACATAATAATAATTCACATCATCCTTGCTAGTTTTCCATCGTATACCCATACACATACACCCAGGAAATAATTCTGCAGTGCAACTTTGCGCCTGAATGTAAACAGCAGCAACGACATAGTGATTTAATATAGTTTAATCTTCACATAAACAGTTTCAGTCCAGTTTGATTGCGCTTGAGCACCAAGCATCATGGATATAAACACACAGTCCACCTCCTCTTTTATACAGAACTAGTAGAGTTTCAAAATGTATGATACAGAGGGAACTTGAAATTAAGGCGCTTTGCTGCGTCAAGGGGAGAGAGGCACTTGTGGTTTTTTATGTCAAACATAAGGTTCTTCACCCCAGTAATGTTCATACAGTCCCGAAAATGACTTAAATGCACCAGTTCAGATGCCATCAAACAAGAAATATGGAGGTGCTAGAAATACAGTCTGCCCTCCTGAGACTTCTCACTGTGTGTGGTTGTGTGTTTCCACATGTACAGTACGCTGACAGTAGGTGGCAAAATTGAATTGGGGCTGAGCACATCATGCAATAGCAACACTGTCCCAGATGGTGTCACCTTAGTGCTTTGTGTTAAAAAATTACCTCTCATCTCTGGAGAGAGTTCAGCTCCATCTCTGGATGAAAAACAATTTGTCTCTCTGAAGGGAACCGGCACATACAGCAGCACAGATGGCATCCACGTGGGAGTATTCGTGTGATAAGATACCACAATACCACATCTTTTACATTTAGTTTACATTTCACAGTGGGTTCTTGTAACTGAAGGGGTGGTTTGCTTTCTTACCCAGGAGACTGGCGGTTTCTTGGCTGCTGTGGGATCATCCCTGTGACAGGACTGTTTCTCCATAAGTCCATCCTGTTTCCACTTAAACTGAATTGTGTATCAGAGATAACTTGAAACACATGTGATGGTGTTACAGTTCGAAGGAATGACTCCGGAGGCCTTCACAGAATATGAGAAATATGGGTGCAAGATGTTTGGCATTGTAACTCTACTAACCAGTGGTCACAACTGAGAGTTATGGATAATGCTAAATGCTAAAACCAGCTGCAACGTAGCACAAGGGGGGAATAGTCAGCCTGGCTCTGGTTTTGCACAAATTAACACATTATCACTTAATATATAGTCCAGTCTTTGTCCCAAGCAAACTGATACAGACAGAGTAGTATCAATCTTCTCATCTAATTACAACAAGGCATCGAATAAGTGTATTTCAGTTATTTCTGAAGATAGTTTAATTTGTTGCCTTGTGTGAAGCATGTTGTACCTTCATTTTTGAGACACAACTGCTATAGTTCTTGGTAACTCTTCCTCTGGCATTGAATATGATGGATAATGAGAGGGGTTTTACACCTTTTCAAACCTACAGGACCTAATAAAAGGGTAGTTTTAAGCCAAATATGTCATTAAGCGATGCGTCACACTCTAAATATGGACATTCACTCACACAATCAAGTCAAGGTCACACAAGTATCATCTCTTGCGTCACAGATACCTGATATGCATTCACAAATACAGATCTCATATCATATGAAGGCCATTTCTGAACTGTGCTATCACTTCAGATCTCGTCTGTGCAGCAGCTCGTTCTGTCACTGTACAGCCACCCAAGTGACGGAAAATCTAAATTCCTCATCTCTTTCTCTCCAGTATCGCTGCATCATTTCATCGCTCCCTCTTTCTGCTGCTGCCAGCACATTCATTCTCCTCTGCATGGAGTTTGATCCAGAGGGGACAACAACACTGCAGGGCTTAGCATGGAGTATGTGTGTGTGGCAGAGAGAGAGAGAGTGTGTATCTGTAGGCTACTGTATGTGTAATAAGGTTTCTGTTAATTAAAACAGTTTTTAATGAGGGCCACATAAAACTGTGAGACCACTAGATAACACTGATTATACAGTCAGATGAAGATATCAGTCTACCACAGGAGCTACAGTCCTCTCACTGTGCAATGTTGAGGTATACGTTAAAGCTTAGTTATCGCGAGATTTGGGCTGCACAGGTGCGAGGCTTGAGCTTGGAAGATGCTACTTTCAATGGCTGTTGGAAATATCGATATTCTTAGGGGAAAGTGCATGAACAACGCTAAAAGAAGTGATAGAAGTTGCTCGTGCTGAACTTTCTTGTTCATTTAACCATCTCACCAATAGAAAACAAAATAAACTCATCCTATACAATACTTATTTTTTTACTATTACTTATAAGTAATAGTAAAGAATAATTAGTTAGTCATAAGTCTTAAGGAGAAATTCACACTTTAATTACAGGCTGTTTTGCTTAAATGTTAAACCTCCTCATTTATAAAAATAAAAAATGATTTGCTTAACAAGATAAGCTGTCATTATTTCTGACCTGTTTCTGACTTATTTTGCATCCTGTGTTTTTGTACTGTTTTTATTATTCTTGTCAAACATTTATTCATTTTTCTGTACCTATATTCCTGTTTCACTTGTATATGACATGCCTGTATTCATACATATATACAGCCTACATAACTGTGCATGCACGTGTACATAGATTAGTATATAACATGATTTATTGAAGAACAATCAATAAATCTGGAACTATTTTGATAATCAAATCCTCATTTTGATATTTTTTTAAGCAAATATCGCGGTGTCAGCTGCTCCAATTTGAAGATTTGATGCTTATTTCTGTCACACATTAGAGCAATCTGTATATCTTTGGATTCTGGACAAATCAAGACATTTGAAGACATCATCTTGGGGCATAATAATAGCATTTATCATGATTTTCTGAGATTTTATAGAGAAAATAATCAATTGAATAATCTGGAAAATCATTGGCAAATGAATCAATCAGTTGCAGCTCTGTCCCAACTAAGCACATTACTATACCAATACTAGACTTGCACTACAAATGTGCAGCACATTATCGGGCACTTATCATAACCCAGCCAGTGGGACCAAGGCCATCAAATTACTTGTTTATTTAGTTCAAGTTCAATACCTTTATTTGTCCCTGAGGGGCAATTGCTTTTGCCGCAGTAGCAATAAAAAACACAACGGCAACAACAGCAACACAGATGAGACACACAGACAAAAGATGAACCAGCCACACATACATAACGACACACAGTAAAAAGGTAAAAGTTAAATGTTAGTGGACAAAATAAAGAAAAAGGAGAAATAGGTTGGAAATGAAATGATGGATTCTGCCTTCTTTATCAACTGTTTGTTGTACAGTTTGATAGTTTTGTTTACTATTGTTCACCCGTATAATGTGTTATGTTTGAGAGGTGAATACCAGCAAATACATGAAAAAGTAAAAACTGTTTCCTCAGGGATCTGTCAACCTGGGACTTGGCTAGCTTGTGTATTTATATTTATATTAGAATATTATATATTCATATTTATATAATAAAGAAAGTCGACTCAGAAGTAAATTAGGCTAGACAGAAGTGGTGATGTGTGTGAGCAAGAGTGGGTGTTGATTAGTGTAAAAACCAAACCAAAAGCCAATTTGATGTCCACAACATGATGTCAGAAATAGAATACAATCTGCAGGTCTTTGACCTTGGTTTGTTGTTGTGAACAACAAAGATGATACAAAATGATGATATAGTGAATATTAGCTGAATTGGCCCTCCTATGAGATGCAGTGGCCTCAAGCCAGTTTGAGTTTGAGGCCCCTGGTTTAGACTAGTTATTTTAGTTTTGTATTTTTTATTAGTTTTTAGTTCTATTTGGTTTTCCATTTTTGTTTTTGTTTAAAAATGTTTAGTTTTGTGATGATTTAAGTCTTAGTTTTAGTTTTTTTTATAATAATATGTTGGGTATTATAGACAGGAGGAAGGTTTACAATACAAATACATTACACAGTCATGTAGACATCCAAGTCTCCAAAAAAAAAAAAAAAAAAACATTTTAAAGAATGCAAGGTTTTCATTCTAATAACAGCTCACTGTGAGCATTGAGATCTGCTGTCTCACAACGCGCAGTAATTGTGTCACCGCCATCTGTTCCGAGCCGAGTGCTTCATGGTGCAACAAATTGCGTCACACATTGCTCCCCATAATGAAGACACACACTGAAGCGAAACCGGAGTTTACGCGGTGCACCTGAAGGCAACGAGAGAGAGAGAGAGAGAGAGAGAGAGAGAGAGAGAGAGAGAGAGAGAGAGTTTGTTCATCAGCGCTTTTCCGTTTTCTGGCTCCTCGCTCTGCCTCCTCTGTCGTGTCACGGGAGAGAGAGAGAGAGAGAGAGAAAAAAAGAGGAAGGAATATGGTTTCATCTGACGCTCCTCCCGTTTCAGCGCTGCTGTAGCGGATCTCCAGTGCGAGCAGGAGGCTGGGGCTCGGTCCGGCACAAACCCCCTCTCTACCTGAAACAACCACCTCAACCCCGTTTCCAACCAGCCTGCAGGAGCGCCCCCAGCACACCGGGACACATAAATGGGTGAGATGCGGCGCTTTTTTTGCTTCTTATATGGAGAATGCCCAAAAATAGCCTCCAGCGCCTCTGCGCATCTGGATGGGCTGGAATAAACGCCCGGTCCAGATGCGCGCTGGGGTTCAGCCTCTCTCCTTCCTTCCCCTCCTCTCTCTCCTCTCCTCTTCTCTCCTCTCCTCCCTACCTCACCACCCCTGACGTCGCTTCAGACATAGCCGAGCTGTTTGTAAGTGACCGCACGGGCTCGCTTTCGCAGTGTTTCCGATTCTTTATTCATGATTAGAAAGCTTGCGCGTGGGTGTGCGAGCGCGGCCGCGTGCGCTGCGATCTGAGGGGAAGCGGCCGGTCACATTGATGAGTTGCAGATGTTGACACGTTTACATTCACTCTCTGTCTGTCTGTCTGTCTGTCTGTCTGCCCATTGTGTTACACAGTGTTTGACTCTCCCCGGCTCCCCCCGGTCTCTGTGCATGGAGCGGGCCTGGCTGTGACATTCCTCTCACCGTCGCCATCATTTCCCACAGCACTGCGCCGTTGCACACAATGCATGGGAATTCATTGATTACAGGTTCTGCGGACCTGTAATCAATCAATTAGGTGCATATGCAAATGAGCTGATTATTTCAAAGATGCCATGCAGGCCCGGATGTGGTACTAACTTCTTCTTTTTGTGCTACTTTTCCCTAATGAGGACATCCTTTTAGACAACTTCTCATTGCTCTGCATGGGAGGAGCATGTGACAGTACAGTGTCTGACAGTATATGAATGATTGATAAAGTAAAGGTTCTGTAATTATGTAACCAGTAATGGATGTAGTCATTAGTTGCAGCCCTTTGTATGCATCCTCTCTGCTGCATGTAAACAAACAATGCACAGCTAGCCTCAAGGGACACAGTCACAGGCACAACAACCATCAAGGCTGGATCACCAACTGGGAAAAAGCATGCTGTCATGGGTCCGAAAACCCCCCAAGATGCTCTGTGTGTGTGTGTGTGTGTGTGTGTGTGTGTGTGTGTGTGTGTGTAATGTGGCAGTTAAATTAATTGCAAGATCAGTTTTAATATGCACCACTTAATTCCAATGTCAGATGAAATGGAAATTACAAGGGCCCTTAAACAGGTCCTGCACAAACAAAGTGTAGTTTGTTGCATTCACAGTGTGCGTATCCCTTTATAAATCTGTAGAGATGGTGGTGGTGGTGGTGGTGGTGGTGGTTGTGGTGGTTGTGCGGGGGTGCAAATGGGGGGACCTCAGCTAAGTTTTTGCCCCAGGGTCCCCAAGTGAGTTTAACCATCCATAGCATGTGTATGAGAGGAATACGTTGCCTGTATTGTCTGTATATAATGCAGCACTCACACTAGCTATGACTTTGGTGTTAAAACTTGAATTAACGCCTCTAGGATAGTGTCAGAAACAAAGGCAGAACATTATAGGCCTCATAAAAATAAACTCTAAGGCAGAACACTTGCACTGGATCGCCTTTAACGTAATTAAGTGTATTGTGAGAGTATTTAGATGGCGTGCAAGACATCAAATGCAGAAAACCTTAATTGAAAGACATAAATACCCTTTTTTTTTTTTACGTTATTTTACATTAAACTATCCTGAAAATGCAGGACTTTAAACAGCTTGTCGTAATGCATTCTTGGGCCATTTTGCTGTTTTAGTTATGTCTTTGTTTGTTCTTGCAGTTAACAATACAAATAGGCTTAAAGACAAAACAGCACACTTATAGTAGATATTTTTCTGCTGTCGCTGCAGTTTCCAAGGAGAAAAAAAGCTTTGTAATCTAAAACGCTGACCTTCAGTCCCTCTGAATTGAAGCCAGAGCGTTTATTTCAAGACATTTGCACAAAGATTCAACAGTTATACAGACACATACTGTATGTTAAAGGAGTTTATCGTCATTAGTACTAACAGAAAGTAATACAAAGTGGCTGAAAGACTTGTGGTGGTACTTTTCTCACCTTGAACTGAAACACTCTCACTCTCTGTCCTGCTTTTGCTGTCACTGTAACCATTGCTCTCTCCACCTACATTGAAAACACAATGATGAATGCACAAAGTTCTCATCTGGGGGTTGCTGAAAGGCATTCTGGGAAATGGGAGTGCTGGGAATTAGGACTAGACAATGCAGGTTGACGTAGTAAATCACAAAATAACAGCATGCGGCACAATAATGAGCAAAGAATGGCTGGAATTTTCCTTTAATGTGGGAGAATCTGCTGAAGTCTGTGATCCGATCCACAGTTGGAGTGGGTGGCTTTGACTCCCAGTGGGCCGCGGTCCAGCCTGAATGTTTCACCGACAGAAACAGGCAGCTGTTCTTGACATCATCAGCAACACCAGTGAAACATACCCACAACTAAACACAGGTCCGCTGTAAACCAGTGAAATGTCAGCATGGCTTTGCAGAGTTCAGTGCGTATCTTATGTGCAGTTTCCCCCTTATCTAAACTGACTGCAGCTGTTCAGAGGACGCTCAGTTCCTGTGTGTGTGCGTGTTTCTTGACCACTTGAGTGGGAGTTTTGTTTTGTCTGCAGACTTTCAAATATTCTGTTTCTTGTCTTCTCATGGTCTGGGGTCACACACACGCCATCAACATTGGAGTGCATAATGCTGCAAATAACGATTATTTGTAATGTTTTAATCTGGAAATCCCTATAGGGATGTCCTTAAGTTGTTAAAAATCAAAAATATACAATTTACCATTAAAAAAAAACAACTAATGCTCGTATTTGAGAAGCAGGAAGCAGCAAATATTTGTCGTCTTTGCTTGGAAAATGAAATAGTTGCAGATGAATCTTCGACGAATCATTGCAGCGCAATACGTTGAGTTTTGGTAAACCTTAAGCATCATGTTTGTTTAACGTTTGTTGTAAATGTAGGTTTTTATCGAATTCAATTTTACTAAAATATAGTAACTTACATCTAGCTATTCTTAGACCGTGTTCTTGAAAGTTAGCCAGCTCACTAGCTCGCCATAAGGCTCGGTTGGATGATTGGAAAGTGGCTTAAGCAAACATTAAACTACTTTTCTTTAAAGCTAAGACAAATAAAAGGTTTTAAGGTTTTAGTAAGGTCCAAGCAATTTACTTTCTCATGTTTGATAGGTTACAACTTATTAGCCCTCTTTAGCGAGACCTTGTTAGTGTGTTAGCAAAAAGCTAACTGCTAAATATTTGACTTTCTTCACCAGCTAGTTGCTAACTGAGTTTTTCATTGCTGGAAACACACACCTTTGGAGATATTAAACCCGTTGAACCTGAACCATAACGCTTCACTAAATGAGCAGGCCCTAAAACGACAACAAGGAGCTAAAAGATGCTAATGAGCACTTGGGTCCATTCACTGATGTTTTGTAATGGTTACCATCGATATACGGACACGCTATGTGGAATGACATCTAATCATGAGCCTTTAGTGGTATTTTCTTGTTATCTCTGTTTCTCTGTTTGCAATGTGGTGCCGGCCACAGGCAGTGATGCTACCATATGGTCTCTACTTATGTATCTTTTTCTGAGGACGTGTCTTCATACCTGGTGTTAATGGGGTCTGTGAGTGACCCTCTTTTTTGACACAAATAAATTAATTTCAGCCTCAGATTTGGTGCTCGAGTACAGCGGCAGGACAGTGTATGTGGGATTGACTGAATAAACTACAATGTGTGTGAGTGTGTGTTCATGATAATGAAGGTTGTGTCACCCAGTGCGACAGTGCGGCTCACTGATGTGTTTTTTAATATATTTCTGGATAATAATGGAGGTAATAGACTATATCAGGCTTTGGATGACAAAAGGCTACATTTTAATTATCATATTGCTTTCAGATGATCTCGCTGCATAGTTTGTATCTACGCCATCATGCTGTGCTGTATATTCATAGACTTTAAATGGAGGCGGTGTGCTTTTATATCCAGCGTAGATATATTGCATGGCTCTGTTTCCACTCTTTCTGCATAGCTTCGCTTCAGACAGAGATTTGGCGTTAACTTCATGTCACTTTCAACTTGCACCCTTCTTTGCACTCAGTGATGTGCGTTCTGTTGCGGAGCCACAAGCTGTCGTCTTCTTCGGTGGTGTATGTGTTGTTGACTGACGTGGGTGGGTGGGTGGACTGCAGTGTGTGTTGTCCTGTTCTGCCACTCATGTACTGTAATGGTGGTGCTTTGCTGCCACTGACTATAAATTCACTGTACATACTTCTCCTTACTGAAGAACCTTCCACTTGCACTCGCGCCACTTCCCCACAGACTACCCAACCGAGAGCCAAAAAAATTGTATTTGTTCCACGTCTCTGTCTCGTCTGCAGCTAATCTCCCTAGTTATCTCACGCCAGAATCATATCCTCCCCATCTGATCACCATGCCAACTTGGACTACAGTCGCCTGCTTTGTCTGCTTAATATTGATGTCTTGTGGAAGTCCTCCTCCTCGATGTCAACTCAGAGCGACGCCTTGACCTTCCACTTTTAGCACAAGTGCTTCCTCAAGAAGTGGGGTCTTGTCGTTGTTTTTGTGTTATCATTTTGGGTGTTTGTGCATTTGTGTATAAAAACATGCAACTTTTTGTGCATGTTATACTATGTGTGCATGTATGTGTGTGAGGGAGAGATCGTTTTGGGGAGGAAGCCAGTGTGTCTGAGTCATAGCTACCCCTTTATAGTGTTGTTCCCATGGTTACCCCACCCCCGAAACTCCCCCGCCCCACCTCCCCCCTTTAGCTGTACACACAGTTTAAACAAGGATCAGGCCTCAGCAGGCCAGTATGTGCGTGAGTATGCGTGTGTGCAAAGGTTTAGGGTTAAGATACATGATATGACACATTCATTACATTTTTACAAGTATCAGCTGCACCAGCAGTCACAAGGTTTTTGCGTGCAAATGTATGCACTGATGTGTGTGATAAGGAAAGAGAGGTTTTTGCATGCATTTTTCAAATGCTGGTTATTATTTGGCTTCTACTGAGTATATTTTCCTGTTTTAATCCTATAAGTACCATATAGCCACCAGTCTGCCGATCATTCAGTCACTTAATTCCATTTGTCTCTACTTTGCCATTTTGTGACTGGTGTTAAGCTACTTTTAATGAAACTCAACATTCCCTGCACACATATTTTATATTAATGTCCGTCTCCTTCAATCCAACACAACAATCTGACTTTTATCTGTAATTTTAAATGTGTGCAGCACCCTAATACAGTTCAATTATGTACTTCATCTTCAGTCATTTCTATTAGCATGTTATACATCAGTGGTTCCCAACCTGGGGGTCGGGACCCCCACTTGGGGTCGCCAAAGCTTCACCGGGGGTCACAAGGCCTTCTTGATATTAATGCATGCTAGAAAACTTAAAAAATATACACAGTAGGTCCATATCTTAGGATTTGGTTCACTTCTGTGAGGGAAAGTAAATGTAAGTACATTGTTGAATTTGTGGCTAAGTGTCAAAACAGAATTAGTCAAAAAAGAAGCCTAGTAAGTCTGTATGATTGTTAAAAAACAATAAAAAAAAAACAGATAATACAGACAGAAAATTGTATTAAAAGTTCTCTAAACAGGAATTTAATCTGCTCAAAATTCATCCAGATAACTTGTTTTACACAAACTTCTTGCAGTCACTGAGTTCATATTTGGGTTAATCGTACAGTTTTGAATAAAATATTAAATATCCATAAAATATGTAACTTAAGCGGGGGTTGTCAGTTTACTAAATGATAGGTCCCTTGAGGAAAAAGGTTGGGAACCACTGTTATACATAAGTTCTATGCTAGAGTCAGCACAACAGATGTCAAGATGTTTATTTATATTGCTTATTGCATATGTAATGCTGCATTCACATGGATTCAGGCAGATGGTAGAAGGCAAACCGGATGTCATATTAGTGGATGAGAACAGGAGGGTAAAATAAAGTGAGGCCGTGACAGCATACTGACAGTAACAGTGAAAAACAGTAAATATTTTAACTTTTTGCCGCAATATTCTTATTCTAATTTTTTGTTAGAATCTTCGTCGTGTTTTTATTTAACTGTTGCGAGTTGGAGCCTGCCTGAAGCCTTTCACTGTCTCATTGATGTTTACATTGCACAAGAACATGTGACAATAAAACACCCTTGACTTTTAATGCAAGTCATCTAGAGAATGTCACTGACAGTAGATTGAATGCCTTGAAAGCCTTCTGTGCCGTTCTTTGGTCCTCCCTCACAACCTTTTGATAAACTTTGGATAGCTTCAGCGTCATTGTGACAATAATAAACGATTGTGGTCATGGTTAAAAGAAACCAATTCTGACTTCCTGCTGGAAACGGGAAATGAACAGCGATTTCCCAGTTTTTGTAACTCTGTAAGAATGTCATTTGATTTCATCTGCTGCTCTGGTCGTAACTTCTATGTCAGCGAGAAGCGTTTGTCATTTGAACGGTAACAGATGTACTTTTGGGGAACCGCCTGAAGCCACTCTTGCTGTCATCAGATCTCAAGGATACAGACAATGTGTTTTGGTGAGAAACACTGAATGTAAACTTATTTGTTCACAATAAGACTCCCCAGGGCACCTTTAATTAGTGAGCGAAAACAGGTTTCCTGTAGCAGCCGAGTGGGGAGTATAATATCACTGCATTGTTCCACTGATGGAATTAGAGCAGTGGAATATACATTGTGCTGAATTTACCATTTGCGTTATGACAGTACAGGTAATTCCACTTCCCCCTTGATTTGTTTGTGTGTATTGGAGAGTAGGCCGTTGTTTGAATTATGAATGCATTTGTGGAAATAAAACACTCATCAGATCTGCACCAAAGATAAATTACATACAGTTTACTTTATGTCAGAGTTGCAGGCCAGAGTAAATTGCATTTTAATGGAAGACGTCACTGTTGTTGTAGGATAGTGTTAAGGAATGTGTGTGTGTGTGTGTGTGTGTGTGTGTGTGTGTGTGTGTGTGTGTGTGTGTGTGTGTGTGTGTTTCACTTCCAGTTTTGATTCAATAAACCAGCACAATTGTCAAAATCAAAACCGCTGAGCCAGAGAGTAAATATAGAACAATCTGACTCCTCTGTAGCTTATAATGTGGCTTACTGTTAACAACCCAACCTTCTTCTCATTGTTCCCAGTGGAGGCCGTGGTGGAGTTCGACTATGAGGCTCAGCAGGACGATGAGTTGAGCCTGACGGTGGGCGACATCATCGTGAACATACGGCGGGACGACGGAGGATGGTGGGAGGGAGAGCTGGGAGGACGCAGGGGGCTGTTCCCGGATAACTTTGTCAGGGTGAGTAATCACAATCACCCCTTCACCTAATTTTCTCTCATTCTCTCCTCATTCTCATCCTCTTACTCGCTTCATAAACCCACAAGAGGCTCTCCACAAATAGCAGCGGAGTAAAAATGCAGTTTGTAACTGCAGGGTGGTTTACTTGGGGTGTCCCCACAGGATGTCTTAGCTTTTTTAGCCTAATAAAAAAACTAAAGAAATTCACATTAAACAGAAAAATACAACTGTACACCTTCAAAATTAAAGTTTTTCTTTTTTTACATTGTGTTTTTGTTACCATAGAATGAGCCATTGTTATCTTCAGGGGGAGCAGTTCCTCTTCTGTGGTGTCCCTACCTCAGTACTGTATTCCCTGTCATCAAACTGGCCTCCGTTGGTCTTGGAAGCTGTTTTCAGACCTGGTCCGGCCAGGTGCACTGGAAGGCTGCTCAGTCCAGTTCTGGTGCCCAATCTGGACTCAAATAGGACCGCTAAATTAGAGAATAGTCACAATTCTTACAAACTGCACCTTAAAGGTTTAGATTAGGTTAATGTGAATGCAGAGCCAATAGAGTGAGTGAGTGAGTCAGATTAATTTATTAGATCAGATTTATTTCTTTGTTACAGCTCCCTTTGGAAACCAGAAATATTTTACACCCTCCCCCGAAATTAATTGCATTTCCAACCACCGAGAGCACAGTGAAATATTAGTTTCATGTTCTCTCTGGATCGGAAAACAAAACATAGTATGTTGTTAAATACAACATACAGATGAGTGACAAATTAGTGGAAAAACCAACAGAAAATAAATGTCATATAGCTGTTTTGATGATGGTGGTGGAGAAATCATTGGTCCAAAATCTGCTGTAGGTATTCCACATTTGTTATGTTTCTCCTCTCCTTTTATTTTGTGCCCAGATTGTATATTAAAGGCCCAACACATTAGCAACAGTACATTCCACCTTCCCATATATGGTTGCATGCATGTGTACTGCATTCCTATGCAACCAAACAGTCCACATTTAATGAAAACCCCCAAATCCCTCAGAAAACGAGAGGTCTTCATTTAATTCTGTCTACCTTTAATAAGAGGCCAGCTGCAGTTAAAAATGCTAATGAAGCCTAAAATCCAGTATTGTCCAACTATGACTAAAACCAACTGAACTATCTGTATAAGTTCCTTGGAAAGGGCTTAAACGTGGGCGGGACTAACCAGAAGTTGTTGATTTAAGTCTGGAATTGAATTGGGTTTATCAGAAGTTGCTATATTTAAAAAAAAATAAATAAAAGTTTCAATATTTATAGTTTATTAAACATTTTATTTGACACATGTACTCATAAAAAGTGCATTCAGTCCTTCTGCACAACCACCATCCAATGTGAAATGCCGGCATCATGGAGTCCAAATAGGGATAACGAGGCACACTTTTGGATAGTCTATCCTCAGAAACATTCCTGTTGTTGTAAGGAATGGATAAAGAAAGTAGATCCCAATCCCAATGTCGGAAAGCTGTGAGGGAATGTGGTTTCAGAAGATGTTTGACCATCTGACGAGCACCTCCGATGAAGTTAGTAAAAATAATAAGCTAAAAATGGGTTAATTCCGCGTCATCTCATTCCAAGTCAATTCAAGTTCCTCTTTGTCTTGCCTCCAATTTGACTTTTCTGTGGTCCGTTTAGCGCACAGAAAATGTCAGACGTAAACATTTAGACGTGTAGGTGTGAGAGCAAATATTCAGAAAGGAGTAAAGTAGGTCAGAGCTTTTGATATTCATAGTAAAACAGTGTGTTGATAGTGATGTCAGGAGGGAAGTATCTTGTTCACTGTACCATGAGGAGGAAGTAGAAAAGTACCACAAGTCAAGGGCGACAGAGAACGGCGTTCACATTTGGACATCGCTGAAGAAGCCCGTTCATTGTCAGGTGGTTTGACTGTGCAGTCAGGCTTTTATTTGTGCTGACTGAATGTCACAGCTCTCATTCACTGTCAGCGAGCTTGACAATGGGCCTGTGAAGGCTCACTGACGGTGTTTGCATGGATGTGTGTTCGTGTGTGTGTGAGAAAGAAAGAGAGAGAGATACGGAGGGAGGCTGTGAGTAATGCAGTAATACCAGACTGGTCTGTCACAAGACTGTAGTTATGGGAATCAGTGACATTAAGCTTCGCAATGCAGATGAGTGTGTGTGTGTGTGTGTGTGTGTGTGTGTGTGTGTGTGTGTGTGTGTGTGTGTGTGTGTGTGTGTTTGTGTGTGTGTAGGAAGTGGGGGGATGTGGATAGACAGGTTGAAAAGGGGGGGGCAGGAAGTGATGGTATGCAAGCATCCCCCTCTGGTGCTGACTAACTGACTATTAAGGTGAAGGTCATTGAATTAACCTTTTCAGTAAAAGACCGTCGTTTCGAAAGATGAGTTTGCTTCCAGTTTTTAAACCGCTCCGAGGTTAACAATCTGCTAATTCTGGACTTTGCACGTGTTATTTGTGGGTTAATTTAGCGAAGCAACCAATGTTACAGCTATTATGAGACTGCAAGCTACTCATGCAAGCTTATTGAAGATGCATTAGTCAGTGTGCGAATAGCATTTGTCAAAGCCTGGAGCGGTTATTGGCTGTCCAACTAATTAGCTAAACAGATTTTTATCTTAAAACCAAACTGCTCACTGGGGAAATGGAAACACTAATCTTTTCAAATCTGTTGAGATTGTGAATTTACGAACACAATCAGCTGCTCTCAATTACTGTTTCTCAGGAACAGGCACCTACAGTATCACTAGCATGTTTTCTAGTACACCTTCCAACACTAATGACAATATTAGGGCTCCAACTGTTTCACTTTGGTTGGTCTATGAAATGTCTGAAAGCCATCCGTGGGTATATCTTTATACTAAGGAAGTGCTGTAACCATCTGACCTTTGTGGATTAGACAAGCAGGTGTTGCAAATTAGAATCACATGTTCTGATTTGACATAAAAAGCGAACCATTGTGTCTTTATGGTGCAGAAGAGCAGCTGGATTCGCTGGTAGACGCTTTTAAGATGTAAAGTCACTGCAGATGTCCGAACAGTGCTAGAGTTGAACATAACCATACATTTTAAACTTCTAAGCTTAGTCTATAAAACGTCAGAAAGTACCAAAAAATACCCCCTTATAGTTTTTTATGAAGTCCAAGTTAACATTTTTAAATGTCTTGTTTTATCTGAAACTGAATGTATTCAGTTACACATACTATACTATGAAAATATTAAAAAAGAGACAGAAAAGAAGCAAATATTATGTATATATATCAGCTCTAACTTAAACTAAAGCGGCTCACTGCGTATGTTTACATATCTTGTTATAAAGGAAACTTTTATAACTCGCTATCAGCATGTGTGAGAGCTTCCGTTCTGTATGACCACTGAATAGAGTTGAGCAATAACGATGAGGTTTATGAAAAGAGGGGAAATAAGATTTTGCATCATTGTTCCTGTGCATTTCACAAGCTCTTTTACAAGCAAAACTCCCTCTGTTCCTCCATTCTTTATCCCTGTTTATGTCTCTGAGTTAGGTCTAGTAAAATTATATTTTTCTAAAATCACAAATCATAATTTGCCTCAGGGGGCTTTACCATTTGTACAGGGTATGACAGCCTCCGCCACTAGGAAGAACTCCCATAAAAAACTCTTTTAAAATTAGTTAAAAATGGAAAAAATCAGAGGATAGTCAGATTCCTTTGTAGTGCGAACAAGGCCAACATGTCCTTGTTGTTACACTGCATTGTTTTGCAATATGACGGGGAGGAAAGGTCAGAGGTCTAGTGATAGGGGACACACAAAGCAATGTTTAGCATTAAAGCAGTTCAGTGTAAACTACATACTTGCTGTCAGACACACACACACACACACACACACACACACACACACACACACACACACACACACACAACCACCGGCACAGTGTACATTATCCAGGTGTTTCCTGTTCAGATATGATGAATCATGTTGTCTTCCTCTCCTCTTCAGCTGGGTTTCCTTTAACTCTAGGTTACCTCCATATCCCCACAGGAGGACTTGCAGTAGAGCATGACTGCAGTCCAAGTAGTAACAAAGGCCTCCAAGAATAGTAGAGTTAGCGCTTTCTTTGATTTCTTTTGCAACACCACACAAGCATTAGTCTCCCGTTCCAAACTAAAACCTATTCATTATTTAAAACAAGCAGTCTTAATAGATAACAGATGGATTTTAGAATGTATGCTCCATTACTTTTCATGAAGCATAAAGCCAAAAAGCTAGTAAACACCGCCTCTGCTTCACCACTCATAAAAAACGGGAAACTGTGTAGGCTAACAAATGGCCACAGTGGGTTTCTGTGTAGGTTGGCTTGAGCAATGTGGAGTCTCCAAGTTAAAAGAGACATTTTTCAGTCTATGGGTGTGTGTCTGTGCATGTGAGTTTCTAAATGAATGTGTGTGTGTGTCTATATATGTTTTTTTTCAGTACATGAAGGCGTGCAGTATATAGAGTTAGAGCCAGTCCATCTGCACTGCAGAATCAATGTCTGACTCTACATTAACACTGCATTAGCCTACTTACCAAACTACAAACACCACATGTCAGGGGAAGGTAACTGTGTGACTGACCTGACCTCAGTAGTTAGACGTCATACAACACACCAAACTCCAAAGTTGTGTCGTCTTAGCTGCTAGCAAGCACTTTCAAATAACTCCAAAATTGTCTTATTTATGTTTTCTTAGCTGCTAGCTAGCTCCTTCGAGTCACTCCAAAGTTGTCTTAAACATGTGGTCTTAGTTACTGGAAGCTGTGTAAACCCTGCAGTCACCAGGGTTAACGTTAAGTTAGCTGTATGCTAGCTCTAGTCTGACAGTGAACCAAATTAAAAAACACTGCTAACACTGTTAAACTCTTCGGAAAATCCACTTATTGTTTTTCTTGCCAAGAGTGGGACGAGAGGATTGATACTGCTTTCAGCAGATGATAAGCTTAGCTTAGCCTAAGACTAGAAGCAAAGGGGAAACAGCTAGCCTGGCTCTGTCCAAAATAAAAAATATATACCTATTCCTTTAAATATTCAGGTGTTTGTGATTTGCATACACATTTTTAATGTTTAATTGGCGTCTCAGCTACAAAGTATGTGAATATCTTCTCAACTGAGTGTCAATTTTGCAGTTTATGGTCAGGTGTTTGAAATCATACTAACTTTAATGTCCAGTCCCTAACCATTGGAGATCCTAAAATGGCTCTTTGCCGAAGATAAGCTGTTGTCTAGGAAACGTCTTCTCTTGTTGATATTTTTGGATCTCAGAGGCTCATTAAGGCTTTCACGCCACACCAGGCCAAACACAACCAGAGTGTGTGTGAGGGGTTGGATTCTGTGAGTCAGTATACCCGGGCCCCTATGCTTCAGTGAGCTGCGTTCGCCACAGGCCAGGGCTTATGAAACAGTGTCATGATGAATGTAGTGGAGAGATGTGAACCGTCATGTCTACTTTTTTCTGCGTCTCTGTGCGTGAATGTCTCCCTGTTTGTTGTCTTCCCATCTGCCTGCTTGTTGATTCTTCTGTCAGGCTGCGTGTGTGTCTGCCTGTCTCTCTCTGGGTTTCCTGATCAGTTTCGCATGGCGTCTTGTGATGCTTTATGCAAGTGAAAGTCATGTGGTCAGAGAGTGAGCGAACTGAAAGGCTGCAGATGTAGAAGACAGTCTGAGAGTCTTCTGTTTGTGTGTTTGTGTTTGTCCAAGCTTTACGAGCTCTGGCTGGTCGTCTGCAGGTAAACACTGAGGATCACCTGGGTTACTGACATCTAATACTACTGCTCCACCGCAGCGTCTGCAGCACAGCACAGGGCAGAGCGGAGATACAGTCTGACAAAGCTCCTTTGCATTTATTGAATACATACAGCAAGTTTATAGCATGACAAATAACCTCATGACCTTTAGGTTTATAGCACCGGTCCTTTTATTCCGAGGGATTTTCATTCACAGACTTATTTACAGTAAGTTATGTCCATTTCTGACAAAAACTAAAGAATTGTAGGCTTCTTTTTTTGACAATTTCTTACCTTTTTCTTACATTTTAGTCCAACTTTAGTCATGTTTTAAGTACATTATAGTTTAATGTGAGAATATCTTGTTTCTACATTATATGAGTGGTCCAATATTAACACTGGCCCTCCCTTAATAAAGAAGAGATGCAACCTAAATTACAGCTCAGGTACAAAATTTTAAATGGCTTGAGGCCACTGTTGGCATTGTCCTCTCATAGAAGGGCCACTTCAGGTACTACAAGAAAGCACAGTATTCTGAAAGTGTTTCCATTACTAACATCCTACATAAAAATGCAAACAGCAGCAGTGCGGCAGTATATTTGTTTTAAATGGATTGTGTTTAAAGGGGTGGTCTAAATTCATTTGAAACAACAACCAGTAAAAAACGATGATGATGATCTTACTGTTACCCGACGCCACAGCGTGTGGTTAATGTTGTGATCTTGTGAGTCTGTGTGTGTGTGTGTGTGTGTGTGTGTGTGTGTGTGTCTGTGTGTGTGTGTGTGTGTGCATGTGTCATCACAGCAAAATGTGGTACTGCTTTACAGGAACCATCATGGCGTACTTTGGCAGGGGTTTATACGTCTGTGGACAGATGTTGTCAACACGATAGCGTCACAACTGTTTGTTAGTAACTGTACAGGTGCTGAAATAAAAATGAATGCAGAGTTTGAAACTGGGTGTGGTCCGACCCATGACTACTCAGTGCTCATGTAATAATAGCAAAGACTAGAATGTCAACATGTTGGTATCATGGCTCGGGGGTCCCACCCATCGCAAAATATAGTTTTCCCATATTTTAGGGTTAAATTGATCCAAAATTACAGTAGAATTTTTTATAACTTTTCAATTTCACCACATTATTTACACATTTTTGACATGTTAATGTTGTATTGTTTTACAGACTGTCATTTATGTTAAGGGATCAGCTCAATTTTCTTGTTTTTTGCTATTGCTTCTGCTTTTGAATGAGTGAAGTACCACTTTATTCTATGATGAAGAGGCCATTTAGACTAAGGGCCTGTCCTCACGAATACATTTTTCTCAAATCTGGATAAATACTTTATCGTATCGGCCTCGCGTCCAGACGGATACGGCGTTTTCGGGGTGTGAAAGCGGTATTTTTTGGAAACGGGTCCCAGAATGGGAAAAACCGAAAACGCCGGATTGCCCGGAGTCGTCTGGACGGCGAAAACATATTAGCCCCACCCCTCTAGCCTTTAACTTCAGCCACGACCGCTAGACGCGTCATAACAACAACAACAATGACGGACTATTAATACTTGTTTGTAAGCAGCGCATGCTCCATGGCTTCTCTTCCGGTTTTAGTATATTGGTGTGGCAGCGTCACAGCACCACATACAGGCCTGGCATATGTACTACAGTGTTTTGGGTCGTTTCATTGAATCCGTGTGGACGCAGATATTTCTGGAAACGACACCTTGTTTACGGAGATTTTTTCCAAACGACATCGTATTGGGTGAGGACAGGCCCTAATTTAACAGGCTTTATTGTATTTAAGTCATTTCAGTCAACATGTGCGTTAGTTTCAGTTAAACTGTAGTGTAATCTATCATTATCTTTCTCATAATTTTCTAGTTCTGTGCTTTTTATCATTATATATGGGTCTTATTATATTATTCCATAATAACTGCTGTCTTGGCTCGTTCTGGTTTCTGCAGCCTACATTTTCTCACCTGAACCTACCTTTTTTTTCTCATCTCTCCCACCATCCTTCCTCACCTCCTCTTCCTCCTCCACATCATTGCAGGAGATAAAGAAAGAGGCAAAGAGGGATGCAGGACAGACAAGCATGATCAGATCTGACCTTTCCAATGGAAGGGCCAGCCCCGTGTCCGACCCCAGCGTACGACCAGGCAGGAAAGGTACTCGACTCACACACACACACACACACACACACACACACACACACACACACACACACACACACACAGTCACATACATTCATACATGCATGGTCATTAGGCAGATTTAAGTCTTCAGTCAACATAGATCCTATTAGTGTGAGAGAGGATTTGGGTCAAGCATTCCTCCACTACACACACAGGCTTTTTCTTTCAATTGTTTTTTAATAAATAAAAATATTTGGACAAAACTAGCACTCTGGGTAATTGTGATGTGATTTCTCGCTATTTTCAGAATTTTCACAAACCAAACAATCAATGGATTAACGGAGAAAATAATTAGCAGATTAATCCATAATAAAATAATCAGTAGTCGCTCCACCGCAACCAACTACAACAGTAAACTCCTGCTTTTACATTAATGCATAAGTAATAATAATTATATTATATATACTTATACTATAACAGTCACAAGTGAGATTTTTTACTATGTATATATTATATATATATATATATATACTATATTTTAATACTTAAAGTAAATTTTCCTGATTATACTTGCATACTCTTACCTAAGTAACATTTACAATAACTTACTTGTAATGGAGTATGTTTTTACTGTGTAGTATTACTACTTTTACTAAAGCAATGGATCTGAATACTTCCTCCACCACTGCATGTGCATGCATACACACCCTCACATGCGACACCTTGAAATTAAACACGAGGAGGAGCGACATCTTGTGGACGAAAGAAGAATCGCAGGGTTATGTCTTAATGCCCCAGCTGGTGTGGAATGAGTCAAGAGTAATGAGGAGGCTAATGAGTGTAAGACAAACAACTGCAAGGCCAGTGTGAACCATTTGGTGTCTTTGCCGGTTAGTGAGGCTGTCCTCTAATTGGAAGGTCAGAGGTCACTGTTTTCAGTCTCTAGCCGTGAGGGCTTTTAATAAGTCAGTGAACACCTGCTTGCTCACTGTAAGTCATGGATTATGGATGAGTGTGAGCTAATTATGTCACATGTAAGCCTAAAATATGTTTGTATGTACTCTTGACCTGTGGTGTGGTGTGTGTGTGTATGTTTGTGTGTGTGTTTATGTGTGTGTGCACTACAGGAGAGCAAATCCGTAAGCGGAGGTGTAAAGCGGCATTCAGCTATGTGCCTCAGCATGAAGATGAGCTAGGGCTGAAAATAGGAGACGTCATTGAGATCATAGCAGAGGTAAGACTGATTGCATTTTACTGGACTCATAATGAGTTTCATTATAAACCTATGAGAAATAAATTGGCATGAATCAGCCTCCAGAACACACAGACAGATGTCCTTTTAGCACGTTTGTCACTTGTTCAATAATGAGATATGTAGGTGAAAATTAGAGCACAAATATATGATTAGAGGCGTCAAGATGTGTTTGTTGTATTTAGAAATGGAGCCACTATGACTACTATGAGTTTGTCTACCAGAGAGCGCTGACAAGTCTTTATATCGGTCATAGTTCTTAAAAAAACGAACATAAAAGATATACAGCTGAAGTCATTCAGCCATTAATACATTGGTTGTACTGTTAGTCAACAGAAAATTAATCTGCAACTATTTTGACAACTGATTGATCATTTAAGTTGTTTTTGAAGCAAAATGGCACAACATTCACTGTTGCAGCTTCTCAGGTGTAACACATTTGTTGGTTTTCTAAAGCCACATTCAGTCTGCAGGCCAAAGTGACCCGAATCAGATTTTTTTGCTCATATGAGACAGAGTGAACAGTATAAAGCACATGGGATCTGATCTTTTCAGTTCTAATTTGATCCACTTTCATATGTGGTCCAAATCAGATACAGTTCTGGTTTCTTGCAGCGTGACCTCAGGGTGAACTGTCATATCAGAATTCATGTGACTTTTAAGTCACTCTAGATCTTTGATCGCTATGCAGGTCATTTCAGGGCCGTGACCTGTTTCCACGCTGGAATCTGATATGGGCCATGTTTAACAAGTACTGTGAACAGCCAGACAAAAAGATCTGAGAGTCAGATCTGAGCAATAAATCTGAATTCGGAGCACAGCCTAAATCTTCAGTTGTAATAAACTGAACAGCTTTGGGTTTTGGACTGTTTAGACCAGAGGAGGGGGAGTCACAGATTTGAGGGGTTGAGACTTGACTATCACTGATAAAAGACATTTTTTATTAGAAACTTTTGTCTAGATAATGAGAGAAGTTATGTTCTGTTTGAGTTTAAAATAATAAAGAAGATAAAGCTGAATAAAATAAAAGTTACAGTGCAGCTATGGTGCAGTATAAGTTATGAATGAATAGTGTCAAGTTTAGCTCTAAATATACAATAAGAATCAATTTAAAGAACTGAGAGTTGAAGCAAACCTCAAGTCTTCTGGGAGTTTGTTCCAGGTGTTTGCATAGAAACTGAATGCTGCTTCTCCTTATTTCATTTTGACTTTGGGGACTGTGAACACATCTGAGACCAGACCACCTGCTCATTGAGAAGCAATAGTAGTATTCTAAAGTCTTTGGCTCACAGGAAGTCATCTAGTGACAATGGAGAGTCATTGGGGTGTGAAGCTGTTTTATATGTGTAGGTATTTTCAGTTCATTGTGAACATCTATCTGTAAATCTTTGTGTGTGTTGTGTGTGTTCAGGTAGAGGAGGGCTGGTGGGAGGGATATCTAAATGGGAAGACTGGAATGTTTCCCTCCAATTTCACCAAAGAGATCCTGACGGAGTCGGACACACCCTCTCTAGACACCTCGCAGGAGGAGCTGCGCAGCAGCCGCACTAGTGAGTCTCAGCCAATCAGATGGGGGGAAGGCACCCACGTATAAAAAGAATTTAAAAAATAACTTGCTCTGGTTGTTGTATTAATCGCTTTTGATGTTTGGATTTGCATAAATATATTCTACTTAATCTACGTGTGCAGGAGTGCTGCAGCAAACTAATATGTACTGTCTATTCTTTGTGTGTGCGTGTGTGTGTGTGTGTGTGTGTGTGTGTGTGTGTGTGTGTGTGTGTGCGCGTGTGTGTGTGTGTGTGTGTGTGTGTGTGTGTGTGTGTGTGTGCAGGTAAGGACAGCCCAGGCAGTGAAAGTGATGGAGGGGACAGTCGTTCAGAAACGGGGTCAGGAGAAATCCAGCCCAAGAAGGTAATCAGCGACGCGCAGTACAGATGTAACTGACTGATGCTGCAGCATGTGAAGCACTCTGCCTCGTCTACATTCCTCTGAACACAAACTCATTCTGCACACACGCATATAACCTTTCAACGATGTGTCTGTCTGAGGACCATCGAAGAATTATCCTGCCAAAGACCGAACGGCTTGAATGACGGAGGACAGCAGATGTAGTCAGCTCGGATTCAAAGCGGCTTTAATGGCGTCTAAATACAAGTCTTTTTCTGTTGCATTGGGTCACATTTTACTCTTATCTATACATATATTGAGTTTTTTTCTTTAATTTTCAGATTCCACTCTGAAAGTAAAAATGTGCATACCATAAAAACAGGTGGGGGGAAACCCACCTCACATCACTTTCACAGTTTCAAGTGAAAGAAAATGGAAATTCAGTCTGATCAGGCGAAATCACAGCTTGTGTTCGTGCAGCTTGTGGTCTACGTTTGTGACACCCAACTGCATTTTCCCAAGGCTGCAAATGTGAACCGCTAACAGTGCTAAGGTCAGATAGAAGCTGTGTACTCGTGTGGAACATACAGACAGACAGTGGAGAAGTGAGAGTATTCTGCAGTAGCGGTGACTCTGGGTCCCATTTATATCCACTGAAACTGACAACAGCTGCTGGCCCGCACAAGCGAACAGTGGGATAGAGTTTGAGGCTTTAAAACCACAGATTTTTGTTGAAGTGTTCCTTTAAATGTTGCGTTAAATTTCAGCATTCATTGTGTGTCATTTCACCTCTTCAATGCACCCGTAGATCCGAGGGTTTGGCTTTGGTGACATCTTCAAAGACCAGCCAATCAAGCTTAGACCTCGCTCGATGGATGTGGAGTCAGAGATGGACAAGGTGAGACACACACACACACACACACACACACACACACACACACACACGGACCTGGATGCACTTACTTCATACATTTTTTGATGCTGTGATCATTGTATTGTGAGTGAGGGAAGGAAGTCCTCAGTCTTGGCTCCTCCCCTTCCTCTGTTTCAGTTGTACAGCACAGGAAGTGGTTTTAATGTTGACACACACAACAACAACACACACACACACACACACACGCAAACACACACACACACACGCACACACACACACACACACACACACACACACACACACACACACACACACACACATCCTACAAGGATTTGACTAGCAAAGCAGAAGTGAGAGCTCCACAGGGTAGAGAGAGGAGAGAGAGAGAGGGAGGGAGAGGAGGGGAGGTAATACAGCTTTTCACTGACGCTCACATATTCACACACACGGTCTCCTGCTGCTGCTGCCGGAGCTCCTTCCGTCCGTCTGTCGGTCTGTCTGTGTTTAACTGGAACCAGAGGAGAGGACGGTAGGGTCAAGTTCTCTCCATTTCTGCTCCTTCTTCTTTACTCTCTTTTCATTTTGATTTCTGTTTTCTTTCGCCCGTTTGATTTGTTTTATTTTCATCCTTTATCTTTTATGTTTCTTCTGCTCTTGTCCTCAGCAGCATTACAAGTGTTGCTGTGTAGTCTTAGTGCCATTTAGTTACTCAGAAGGTTTGGTGTTTGGTGGTGGTTTGGTGGAGTTAATGCGATAAAGCATAGAGAAAAGGAAGCTTTTGTCAAATGTTCTTACTTACTATAGTTTCTATAAAGAGTTCTATAACTATATAAGAGTATAAATTGTTCTTTTGATGGTCAAGATGCCATTTCAAAGGCTGTCTCTCCCTGCCAAGATTACGATTTTTGGGCAAACTAAATAGTTTTGTAATAAAAATACTCAAATGTATGGATGTGGAGTTAAAGGGCAACATGTTCTTCCTCTTAGTGGTTTCTGATGATGCCTATAATTGATGGGTTTTATTTGCAGAACCTTTCAAAAACCTGCCTTTAAAAGGACAGTTCAACCAAATTTTAAGGAGCGTAAACTGTAGATGAAAAGTTATGCAAATGAAACAAAGTATCTGTACAATCAGAAACCACTAGGAGGAGGTGAATGTGGGTTTTGGGGTTTTGTAATTTTGGTGAACTGAGCCTTTAAATTTGATGTTCTTGAGATAAAATATGTAGTGTTTAACCCCAAAACATTAGTCTTTTTGCAGGCTGAAACAGCTTTTGAAATCATATGTTTGCCATTAAGAAACAAACAAAAAATAATACAAATAAAAATGTTTCTATTTCTATTATTTTTTTCTTTATTTTGTAATCTATATATATAAAAAAACCTGCTTTCTGCTAGATGCATCAGTAAACCTAAAGTCTAACAATAGCCAACTGCACCAAATCTGATCAGCCAAACAACACTGAGCCTGAACCACAACACATGTAATGCTGCTTAATGTCCCCTGAGACAGTGCATATTAAACAGAGAGAAAAGCAAAGGATATGAGATTAAGGTCAAAAACATGGGCAATTAATCGGGTGAAGAACACAAAATTCTGTATTTAAGACAGCTTATAAAAACCTATATTGGTCAAAGCCTGCAGACGTGTGTTTGCTCTGAAGGATGTTTGTCAGCCTGTCCTGCTGAGTGGGAGGCTGTTATGTTGCTTTATGGTGAGACAAGTCTCTCTGCTCTCTAATGAGGCTCTGGAGGAGGTGACAGCAGAGAGTCTCCATCCTGGATGGGGGGGGAACGCTGAGTCATGTGAAGCCACGTCAACTTTATAATTCAACTGGAAGGTCATCCGCTTGTACATGGGTGCAGCTATGCTGTTGCATGCCGTGCTGCACAAATGCACGTAGTAGTGACTAAATGCTAGTTTAGGTATATTTTGTGGGGGGGGTTTAGCTGACTGATGTTTCAGGCCAGAAAAAGGGGAAGTTTTTAGTATTTTTTCGTTCCTTGTGGTGAGTCAAAGTCATTCAGCCTTAAGATCAGCAGAATCTTCAACGTAAAACAAAAGTCTACAGTAAATAAAGGTTAAGAGGGGAAGTTGCCCTCTAAGGCCGTGGTTTTCAATAAGGGGGGCATTGGGCCAAATATCTGGATGTTGGCAATGTCATTTTGAGTATGTATGTATATTTTGATACTAATACTTTTTTACCAAAGTAACATTTAGAATAACTTTTACTTGTAGTTTTTCTACACAAAGCTGCTCTTCTCCTGAAATGTAAGCTAGTGCTAACTCACTTTAAGCCAGGGCTAACTAGTTAAACTAAAAAAGGGAAAGACCGGAGTAACTTGGATCAGCTGACAGTCTAATATCCAACTGGTAATAGAAAAGGCCAGTATCAGCCTGGTACATCACCCTCTGTGCCATTTATCCCACAAAGTTCTTGATTTCCTAGTGGACCAATACCGTCAAATATATACTTGTTCAGTCTTTTTGGGAAGTTTTCAGCTTTTAGCCTAATGGAAACGGAAATGTTTGGTATCTAGTAGTTTTTTTTTGCTAATAATAGATAACAAGGTGATGGTACAAGGATTAATCTAGTGCCACAATCTGGTGAAAATGTCCAATTCTTATATTTACAACCAAATACCAGCTGTGCTTTGTGTTTAGTGCTAATTAGTGAATGTTCGCATGCTAAGAAGCTAAACTAAGATGGTGAATGTGGTAAACAGCGCACCTGCCAAATATCTGCAAGCTAACAATATCATTTTGAGTATGTATATTTTGATGCTACTATAAGACAATTTTTGAATGAATTGTAGTATTTGTACACTCTGGGTATTGCTACATTTACTTAAAGCCCCTATAAGGAACTTTTGTGGATTCTGGCGGCCCCTGTGGACAAAAGCGGTATTGTTTCCACTGCCTTGTTTCATTGATTTCAAGAGGAATCCAACCAGGGGGCAGGCATTAAGAATAACTATATAGAAACCAATCTTGTTGTTTACGTAGGTCATATAGAGGCATCAGTATTAAATCTACACTGTTTCATAACCAGTGTGTTTAATTAAAAGATCTGAGCACGTCTTCCACCGCTGATAGTATGCCATTGTTTGTTACAGGATGTTTGTTTCACGCTTTCTTTGTGAAACCTACAGCAGAGTGACTTAACCTAGACCATGTGAGAGTTACTCTTGTATGAATTTCCTGCCTCTGCTCACATTTTGATTCTGCGGCTGGAGATTTGGTTTACAGTGGCATGGCTTTAAAACAGCAAGATGCACAGTACAGTAAATGCAGCTTTAGGGTCATGTGAGGTTCCTTCAGCACCAAACACAATAGTTTTAGTTCTTCTTTTCTTTTTAAGCCAGTAGTGACATTTAAAAATGTCTGTCAGAGTCATCAAGAAACTCCTATAGGTCAGACCTTATTGCCTTTGAGAGGCCGAGAAACATGTGATACTTGGACATTAAAACCGCTGGGATGTTGCAATGATGTCTCCACGCTTGTGGCACCACATGGGTCTCATTATAGAGGGAAGGAGAGAAGGGGAAGGGTGCAGAGAGAGGAGTGAAGCTGGCGGGGGGGAGGAGTTTTGGTTGGGGCCCGAACAGAACAGAGCTGTGTGTGTGTTCAGGACAGACCGCGTCTTGTGAATGTGTGTATGTGTGTTTTCCTGTGGAAGAGCCACCCTGGTTCCACAAACACTGTCGAGGGATCCACTCCAGCCGGAAAACAACGGCTCCTTTTAACAGCCGACCCAACACACACGCTCATACACGGCACACACACACACACACACACACACACACACACACACACTCATACACAGCACACAAACTGATACACACCTCATCATCAAGTCAGGCCGGTGGTTTTTGTGCTAAATCCGATTTCATCCTGTCTAATTAGCTGGTTACATTGGAGCTGTGGTACAGTGCCGTTCACTGGGGAAAAGTGATTATTTTTATTTCATTGTTGTTTATTTCTGTCTTTTATTATTAATTATTTTTACCCTTTTTTTTTGACCACACATGCTAACATTAGCATTTAGCTCATTGGCCGCTCTGTGTAGCAGCTAACGTGCAGGCTTGGGGAGTAATGGATTACATATAACTAATTAGTAAGATTAGTAACTAATTACATTGTTCTGTTGTCTTACAGAATACACTCGCATTTATACTTCTTATTGACATTTCTTTGATCTAGTTTGTATTTACATTTCAGGTGTTGAGGTAATCCAAAAGTAACAGAAACTTATTACTTTAACATTGTGATACTTAGATTAGGTTACTGACTATATTTTTAAATAGGAAATTAGTATTTGTATTGGATTCCTTTTTTAAAGTAACCCTGCTAACATGGCTAACATGTCTTGCTCTTTATTTATTTTTAATAGTTATGATTTTGTGTGTATCATACAGGAAGACTAGCAACCACTTTGTAGAGACTAATTCAAAATAAGAGAAATTATGAATAAAAAAATAAGGTAGTGGAATGATAATTAACACACGGTACTTATTAAATGTTCGTAAATGTTACTGACATCAACATATAGCAATATAATGGTTCATACATGCATAGATTGATAATATAAAGGGAGGAATCCATTGCAGAAGATATACAGATATCAGTTTCTATGCTGTTAGAGAGTAAATGTGGGGCTCTGCTTGTCGCTATCACACCAATAAATCAAACCAGGTCGCAATATTCTCTAGAGAGGTTGCTGAAAGTCACGATGGTATGCACAGGAAGCCCAAACTGAGTCAGAGCAGTTACCGCACCGCTTATTACAAAACAATCATCTCTTCTGTAGATGTAAGTGCATCTGAGGATTTTACGACGTATCCGAAACTAAAGGTTTTCCTCCATCTGTCCTTCACTCAGGCCAACGAAAGCAAAGCCGCTGAAACCATGAAGACTGAACCCGACAGCAAAGCCAAAGGTGAGAAGTTACTGCTTCACTGTTATGCAAACACAACAATATAAATGACATACGTTTCATAAGCAGACTGATTAACAGTTTTGATATTTACCAAAAGCAAACCATAAATCCAACATTACTGTCTACCATTTTCCAAAGCCTGCCATACTGTTTAGATCACTTCCTACCTATCATTCATTATTATCATTGTTGTCACAGTATTGTAAATTAGTTGCGACAAGCCACTGCTAGTGGAAAGATCCAGACATCCATGTGGCAAAAAGAATTACATTAACAAGCTGTTGAAGAAAAAAAAGACATCAAATAATAATAAAATGTGAATTTTGTGAGAAGGATGATGTGAATTTCAGTTTTTTCTGTACATGATTCACAGTTAAAGAGCAAAAACATGCGAAACATCACACATTGTATTAGAGCAGGAAATGATATAGTGATCTTATAGATTTCCTTTTTATATTTATTCTACACATAAATTGTTAACCAATGCATGAAACTCTTACAATCCCAAATTCTGTATTTTATAACTGAATTCACAATTATTAGTTTTCATTATTCACTGATTTTTTTATTTCAAACAAGAATGAGAAAGATGAGACTATATAAACGATCCCACGCTGGGGAAATTTACTTGTTACAGCAGTTCCAGATATAACATAGCAGATAAGAAAAAAATAAATACACATTAAATAACAAAATAAAAAATTTAAATACAAGAAAAAAATAGAATTAGGGTTGTAGGGTTGTGTGTATATATAAATACACATATAGGAATATATAGGAACCTTATATTTTAAATATATAAGTAAAAAAAACTGGTTTTATAACTATTTTTAACACAAGCAATTAACTGCTTTTTGTTTTTCAGTTAATCTACAAATTAATTTCTTCCATCTTTTCTCTACTTTTCCATTACTGGAAAGTTTTCTAAGCTGTCCTCGACAAGACAAGATGACTGTGTACTGTAAACTATGGTGGAAGCAGGAAACACAAGAACTTTTGACGGCAGGGGGACATCAAATCTGTTTAAGATAATCTGCTTTTTTCTAAATTAGCGAGGTATTTTACAGTGAAAATTTGGAAACATCAGGTACCTCTCTCCCAGGCAGTCACACATTGCAGTTTGTAACTGTCTTGAATTCAATTGGCAGGGCGGGAACAATGTAAAGTCCTCTTTCCATATGAAGCACAAAATGAAGATGAGCTGTCAGTCAAAGAGGGGGATATCGTCAATATCATCACCAAGGTAAGTCTGTATGTGGGTGTGTCTGCTTTGATTCTTGTTTGCCTCATTTGGTTTGTTTGATTTGTTTGTGCAGGTGGTGAAAGCTCCATTTGCATCCAGGCGCACACTAAATACACTTAGCATGCATTTAAGTGGTCACACTCTGCTGTCTCTTGTGTAGGACTGTGCCGATGCAGGCTGGTGGATGGGGGAGATCGGAGGAAGGCAAGGTGTTTTCCCAGACAACTTTGTCAAGCTGCTAGAAGTGGAGAAAGAGGTGATTTTGGCGCACATGCAAAAGTTGTCTGTTTACCGCGATGTCAAAAGCCATGAAAGTCTCAAAGACATGATACATTCTCAAAGTGTTTTTGTAATGTTTCTGTTTCTGTGTGTGTCTCCAGAGACCAAAGAAACCGCCTCCTCCCAGCGCACCGTCAGCTAAGCACACCACAGGTACAGTAACACCTCATCTTTTTCCTTCCTCTCTTGTATTTTTATGTTCTGAGAGAGAACGGAAGAGATGGATACAAACCAAAAACACCTGTAACCTCTGACCTGTAGAGAAAAAGTCGGAGTTCAGGAAGGTTCCTCCTGAGCGACCTGAACATCTGCCACAGAGAGACCAGGATCGAGGTACAGTCTAGGCCACTTTGGCCCTGCTCAGCCTGCCTTCAGCCTGCAGCTTCTGCAGCTTCTTACAACTTTCCACTGATTTGTTCAGCTGGCAACGGACAGATCACTTACTAACATGTTTAATATTACTAATCGTTTGCTGGACGGCTTTACAGCAGAGAGAGATTCGGTGTCAGTGTGACACAGGACAAGGCGCTGTTTGTCACCTGTAAACGGAGCCAAACGAGGTTTCCGCTGAGGGTAGAGCAGTAGAACAATTACTTGCAGCGTGTTTGTCCTCCTTTGTAAAGCAGGGAAACAAAGCTCTGATAACAAAAGTGTCAACATCGTTCTGTATGCAACAGGAAGCTTTGGGCACTGTGGTTTTGATGACAAATACTGGTACCAACTGGTGTGAAACGCAAGCTTCCAATCATCTCTGCAATCATCTCATTAAATCCTATTCATACAAGACAAATATAATTAACTTGACAAAGATATTTTTAATGTAATCCAGGAGTAGCTCACTTTTCAGGGTTTTACTAAGCAGTGCTGAGAGAGATACTCAGATCTAGAGCCCTGCAAGGGACTGTTTTCTTTATCACGCTCCCGCCTGCTCCCGCTGGATTTCTGACTGTTACCGCCTGCTCCCGTTATGTGTGTCCTCTCCCGTTCGCACCTGCAATCGTTCTGACCATTCATGGCTGCACAATTAAGATTCTGCGCCTTCTCCTGTCCTGCAGGGAAAAGAAAAGGCACTATTTTACTGTGTCAGTGTCAGAGTTGCCTTGCTTTGCTTTAATCTTCTCTTCAGCTTCATTTGTACACTCTGTCTCCATCCTTCTAGCTAGCTAAATCCCGGGAGCCGTGGTTTATTTTTTGACCACCCGCTCCTGTGAGATTTGTGTTTCCCAATTCAGTCCTCCACTCAGATGCTATGGTTGAGTTGAAGCGCCAATACAGCAATGTAAAAATACCCGACTACAAGCAAAAGTGCATTGCAAAGTTTACTTACAGTAAGTAAAAGTGCATACGTATTATCAGCTAAACGCACTGATAAATCATCATATATGACATTTTTAGATTGTTAATATAAATGCATCAACGCATAAGTAGCGTTTTACTGTTGTAGCTAGTTTTAACTACTGTATATGAAGTAGGGTTGTTTCATCCAGTGGTTCCTTACTGAGGTGTGGGCCCCCTCTAAATGGTCACAAGATAAATCTGAGGGTTTGTGAGATAATTAATGGAGGAAACAAGATTATATATAATTTGTTTCTTTTTTTTATTTGCTTTTTGTGAAATATTAAATATATATGACCTCTTTTGGCCTCAATCACTTATTTAAATGAAACCTATGGAGAAGTAACTCTTTGGTAGAACTTACAGACACAACATCTGAGATTTTTCCCTCTACTAAATTGTAGTGTATGTTTAAAGCAGCATAAATGGAAACACTCAAGTAAAGTACAAATACTTCAGTACAGTTATGTACTATGTGTATATATATATATATATATAAATATACTACAGTCCTACGATGCAAGCAGTAAAATGGCTTACACACAAGAATCCTCCCCCAATAAATATTTGGTCTTATTTTATTTTAAATAAGTGTTAAGTAGTACGGGTTTACAGAAGTGTAGTGTTTTCTTGCAATATTACATAAATGGTTTTATTGCCTTTAAGACGACCTTCATAGAATAAATAAAAAAAAAACACAATTTCTGTTTTCACCCCTCCGTAAGATTAAATCTCATAAACCAAACACAATCAATACATAACAATACTTACAGTTCCTCTTAATCTCTAATCCCTCTTTATTCTTTGTAGCCCTCCTTTTTTTTCCTTCTTGTTTTGTTTTTCTCTCCCATTCCAGCAGCCTTGGGCGACTCCAGACCTTTCTTCTTCTTCCTGTTTTTATTCTGTAACAACCTTATTTGGCTTCGTCAGTTCTCCTGGGTCAGATTTAGTTCCTTTTTGCTGCTGCAGCTCCTCCCTCCATCACTGTACTCCTACTTTGCCCTCACCTTATTATGCATGTGTGTGTGTTTTGTTTTATTTTTTATGTTTTTTGAGTTATTTTTGAACATCTGTATGTTTGTATGATTTTGTGCATGTAGGTGACGAGGTGAAGGTTGGAGACATCCCCAAGCCCTCCCTCCCATCTATCCTTCCCAAGAAACCCCTCCCCCCAAAGTCAAGCTCCTCCTCTTCCTCCCAACCCCCGCGGCGTCCTGAGAGACCGCCCAATCTAGCGTCAGTACATACACACATACGCTCTTACGAAAAGCAATCCCATATATCCCTGAGCGTACACAGCCTAATGTTGTTGTATGGTTTACCTGCTCAGGTGTGAAAGCCCCAAGTCTGAGGGCGGGGCTTCGACACCAGATTCTGCCCCTGACAGGTCACATGACACCGGTGAGTCTGACTGACAGGATCATCGACCAATGAGATCCAGATATGGTGCCTCAGTGACTGTCAGAGCACTCTCTCTTTGTCTCTGTACACACACACGATACTTTACCAGCTGATAATCACGTGTTTTTGTGTTTTTGCCCAGATGTGGACCTGGACGCCGTGGTGTTGTCAACAGAGAAATTGAGTCATCCAACGGCGTCACGGCCACGGGTCACAGACCGCCGGCCTCGCTCACAGATCATCACACCAGTGAGTGTGTTTGTAGTCAGCTGATCATGAAGGACGTTTTTCTGAATCTAGAGAGGTTTTGATTCTGTGTCCCTCTTTCATACAAAAAGATTAAATATACTATTACAATATTCAGACTAAAGACCATCACAATCATTTTTCAACACGTTTCTGTCCGTCTGTCTGTCTTGCAGTCTATGCTGTCCAGTATTAATCTGGACTCCCCTGCAGTGGAGGACAGGAAGGACAAGGACAGAGGGAAGGAGGAGCCGGAGACTGTCTCCAGATCTGTAGAAGTTTCCCTGAGAAAAGGAGTTCCCACCGTCTCTGTAAGACCACCTTCAGTGCACCTCCTCATACTATTTATTTCATCCAGCAGAGGGCACCATAACACAGATTTATATGTTTAAAACTGTATCTCTATGTTTTTGTTCCTCATAAACACTTTACCACAGTACAGTTTGTTGACAGATGACACAATGACACATAACCAATATTGTTAACTATAGTAAAGTTAAGTTCATATTTAATTTCTAAATAAGAATAAAAAATCACAGAGGAGGTATCAATAAGTAGGAAATGCAGTATCTTGATTTGTGTTTCCATTTGCCCTCAGGCACCTGACAATAAAGCACCACTGCCTGCCAAGCCCTCTGTCCTGACCCCACCAAACTCCAGCCATCGCCCTGCCTCCCCGTCTTCCTCCTCGGGTCTGACCCCCTCCCCTGAGCTCCGGCATTCACCTCTGACCCCTCTGACCCTTGAGGAACTCAGGAACCAGCTGAGAGACCTGAGGGCCTCCGTAGAACTGCTGAAGAGCCAGCACAGGTATGTCACACATCTAGATGTGTGCTTGGATGTGTGTTTGGGTGTGTGTGTGTGTGTGTGTGTGTACAATCCTATGTGTATCAGAGTCATGAAGCTGATGTGTTTGTGTATTTTGCTGTATTTCAGGCAGGAGATGAAGCAGTTGTCCAACGCGCTGGATGACGAGAAGAAGATTCGTCTTAGTTTACAGGTGAGACTCATAAAGGATACATTTACACATTATATTGTTCATTATACGCACTAGCGAGTGATATACTATGTAGTTGAAAGTATGTGGACATCCGAAGGAAGTCCATAAAGAATTGTTGTGGGTACAGCTGTTAAATAAATAAATGCAATATGTCTGTCTTTGTTTGACAGATGGAAGTAGAGCACATAAAGAAGAGCCTGTCGAAATGAAGTCCTCTTTATCGGCGTACTCTGATCACCACATCGGAGCCCAGCATTTTGAAAACATTGTCACTGTTGGCCGAGACACTTCAGCCAAAACAAAGTTTGTGCCAAATGATCATCACGATCAACATCAGCAACAATACAGTACCATGGAATCAGCCACCTTCCCTCCCCGACGCCGCCTTATCCTGTGTTTACTTCTTTATTCTTCTTTTAAAGAGGCTTCTCTGTTAAGTTTACTGCTATCTTGTCGAAGCTTGCTGTGCCACTGGTACTGACTAACCCGCGGCCTGATGCTGTGTGCTGCCACGGCTACAGAACAACAGAGCCGCGGCTGCCGTGGTGACCTCACCGGTACTTTTTGTTTCTAAGTGTGAAGGAAACTTGGAACTCGACCTTCGTAGCCCGGTTGGTTCAGATGACCTATGTACAGTTCTGTGCCCACTCTGCGGCCTTCGCCTCTTATCTTGTGTGTGTGAGAGCGTGTTCTTATTTTCCATCCATGTGAGGACTGGAGTTTTAGACCTTCATATAAGGACATTTTTGTAAAGTGAGGTTGTTTTGGCCGGTCCTGACTTCTTCATCGGGCTAGATTAAGGTTAGAATAAAAGGCTATACTTTGAGGCACATTATTAGCATTAGGGTTACATTGACACTCTGAGCTCGATGTTTCTATGGTACACTGCAGGCGGGTGATTTTGAAGCATCAGCCATTAACAGCACTGGCATTTGGACCTATATCCCTATCCCCTTTTTTTTTCTTAATGTCATAACTTTTTCAATTTGCAGTCAAATATTCCACCTGTTGGGAGGTTAAAATTACAACACAAGCACATCAGTTTAATGAAATCTTACCAACATGACAAGTGATACTGGAGGTGCTATTTAAAGGAATAGTTAGATATTTTCAAAAATATGCTTATTCGCTTTTTTTCAGGAGTTAGATGACAAAATCGATAACATTTGCATGCTGGTACATCAGATATGAAGCTATAGCCAGTGGCCAATTAGCTTAGCTTAGTATTAAGACTGGAAATCGGGGGAAACCGCTAATCTGGCTCTGTCCAAAGGTAACTAAATGCCTACCAGCACCTTTAAACCTCACTAATTATATCTTATTTGTTTTATTCATAGAAAAATGTCAATATGTGGTTTAACAATGACAACAAGACTTTAGAAAGTCACTTTATAGGTGATTGTAGATCCAATTTTGGCTGTAGCATCATACTTATCATTAGATTGGTATACATCTTCTCATCTAACTCTGTGCAAGAAAGCCGGAAAGCATATATCCCACAATGGAAAACTATTCCTTTGACAAAATCCAAAACTGCCCTGTGATATTTGGCTGCTAATGAAAAGTTTATGCAAAGAAAATTACATGTCACTGCATGAACACACTTACCTATCATATTTATCAAGTCAAAAGTATTGCCTTCTGGACATAAATTAATTATTTTAACCTTTTTTGCTTTTGCACTCTTGCCACGATTCAGAAACCTCAAGAAACAGCTGTGCTGGTCGCATCACACCCCACAAAAATCAAAATCTGTGCATCTGATGTTTCTGGTGCTCTTTTGGCAGCAGATGAAGGGTAAAATTAAGGACAGGGTTTGAGGAATGTAGTCAATAAAAGGACCTCATAGGTAAAGGAAGACAAAATGTGTGTGTGTGTGTGTGTGTGTGTGTGTGTGTGTGTGTGTGTGTGTGTGTGCATGTATGTGTGGTAGCATGTACGGCTATTTGCCTCCCTTCCTTATATGTGCACAGAATCTATGGCAACCCGTCACTGTGGCCTTCCTGTTTTTGACTCCAAATCTTTCTTTCTTTCTTTCTTTCTTTCGTATGACAACGAGAAAACTGCTACAACTGAGGCTACAAGTTGTTTTCTTGACTTGGTCCTTTCTCTCCAGGATAGTGATAAATATATATACTTTTATATTTCAGTGTAATAAAGATGCTATTATGTACTGTACGTGTGCATATTTTGTTTTTTAAAAAACATGTTTTAATTGTCTGCTGGTAAAATTGTGTCTGTGTGTGATATATATAGTCCTGTATTAAGGAGCATTTTGTTCCATTCTGTTGCTCTTCACACTGTTTATTCAAACAGTTGGTGCACAATGCTTGGATAACTTTTATAGAGCAGCATCATGTGTGTGTGACAGATAGGTCATAGGTCACTGATTTCTGAGTGAATAGTAGGAGAAGTGAAAGTAACAGATTCAGACTTAACGGCTACCGAAACCACTGTCAACCACATGATGTGTAACAAGTCAGTCAACTTCACTTTTGCAGTATACAATCATTTTTAGATTTTTATCAGTTTAATTTTATTTTAAAAAGCCTTCAAATTTAACATTTTCACAACTGTATAAAATGCAAAGGTGTAGAATAACGTGAGCTTATCTTGAATCGTGCGGTGTGAACAAGCGTAATGAACACTTGTCTTGAACCAGGACTGAAAAAGAGACGGTAAGACTATCAGCCAGAGCACAATTGAGAAGACTTAAAGGACCAGTGTGAAGGATTTAGATGCATCTAGTGGTGAGGTTGAAGATTGCAACCAACAGTAGACCCCTCCCCTCACCCTCCTGTTCCAGGTGTGTAGGAGGATGGCTACAACAAATGTGAAAGACCCTATCCAGAGCCAGCATTAAGTTTGTTCATTCTGCGCTACTGTAGAAACATGGTGGTTCAACATGGTAAAAATGTCTCATTCTAAAATAAAACATATGAATATTATATTCCATTTCTGCCAATAGATCCACCTAAATATTACACACTGGATCTATAAGTGAAAAAAGGGGTACTCCAGGGATACTCCAGTCTGGGTTTTCATGACAAATCCTTATTTATGTGTGAAGCAGCCAACAGCTGGATACCCTCAGGGAAAAGTTGGAATACTGACAAATATCTCCACGTTACTTCCTATCTATGTGAAAGTTCGAATCACTACAGGGCATCAGATTGAGGCTGTCATAGTTCTTAGTTGAGGTTTTAAATCACACACTTCCACTTGAACTTCTCCTTTAGTGTTGCCATTTACTGAGGCCGTGTGATGATAGTGGGTGACTGTAGAGAATATACAGCATATGAAACACCAGCAATTAATAATAGGCCTTCACACATGTATGGAAGAAATTATGTCCTTTATATCCTAATAAAAATATAGTATTCAACTCCACATTTAGGTTACAAGCACACCAAGTTTTAATTGGTAACACCTACACAGTCACACAGCTATTTGCCTCACCATTGACGGGCATGATGGTAGTTAATTCAGCAATTATCTGCATCCAGTTCCACAAATTCACTTATGCATTGATTTTATAACTGATAACATTTTTAAAAGCAATTTAGAGGCATTCAAAAGCTTACAACATCCTTTTTAACCTAAATTAGCAACTTTTCTTTCTTCAACTTTATTTAGATCATTAAGATTATTTGTTACTTTTCTTGTATGCACACAATGGACAGCACACAAACAAAATCAGGCAACTAAAGTCTCAGAACCAAATGATCTAATATTTACTTTTCTTTGCATGCACATGGTAGGGGTCTACTATTCACTAACACTCTCTTAATTAATCATTAGAGCTGTGCCATCTGGCATCACCTGAGCTGTGCATGATTAGTGGAACAAACAACAATCAATAAAACAACCAATCAGAGCCAAAGAACATAGAACAATCCTGCTTTCTCATTGGCTTTTTTTACTAGTATTTCCAAAAATATGTTGCTTTCTTTTAAGGATGTTTTAGATTCGCTGATGTCAAAGCAGCTGGAAGGACCAATCTGATAAGTTTGCTCTATTTAAACTATAAAAGCTGCTTTTGTCTGTGCATTCACTGCTATTGGACATGCAATGATGTAACCAGATTCAATCCTTGTGTGAAACATGAGATACAGCATTATTTTTTACACTCAGCTATAATAACAAAACAATCTAATTATGTCTCTAGGGTGGCAGTAGCTCAGTGTGTAGAGACTTGGCTTGGGAACTGGAGGGTTGCCGGTTCAAGTCCCTCAGACCACAAAATATGGAGTGTGGACTGGTAGCTGGAGAGGTTTCACCTCCTTTGCACTGCCAAGGTGCCCTTGTGCAAAGCAACCTAACCCCAAAAGCTGCTCAAAGCTGCCGGTAATGTTGCAGCCCCATCACTCCTCCATCTCTCTCCCCTTTGCATGTCCACAAGTGCATGAAGTGTGTGTGTGTGTAGAAAAAAAAGTATATCTTCTTCTTCTAAGCTAATTAAATTTAGACAATTACAGTATATTATACTTATTTCCCTCACTTTGCAAATTAGGAGCTCAGTGGAGCAATTCTTTTTTTTTTTTTAAATAAAACTTGATAATTTGAATGAAAAATGGTAATAATGGCAGTCCAGGGAGGTTCTTTTAGCATTAAAACCCTTTTAGTAGGTTTCCAGGAAGGACCAGTAGCCATGACCCAATTCTAGGGACACATGGACCTGTCCTCTTAGAGTGTGAAAGATGGCTCTTGGCAGCAGTTCAGACCAGTATTAACATGTCACTAGTTCTTGGAAAGACTGTGCTGCAACAATGTTACCTTCTTTAGGTGACTTATAAGGAATCTTTGTTTTTTGTTTTATTTATTTTATTTAGCTGTCATGAAAAATAGAAAAAAATCTGACACTGAGCACAGAAACTTGTAAGCCTTGTAGGTTAACTTTAAAAAAAATAATAATTAAGTGTAAATACAAAATGACAGGATACATATGGCCATCAATACAGACACATCTGATGAGAAAAAAATGAAATCATATCAGTGCTGTGCAGATATGTTTGAGATGAACATAACTGAGAATAACTTGGCTGCAGTCGAGGAGGGGACCAGGAGGTCCACACCGTTTATATTTAGACAACCAGAGAGACGGCGATAAAATTTCACACGGTGGACAGCATAGTCCTGATTGTATCCTGCACTATAAACAATCTCCCCCCATTGGAAACTTATTCAAACCAGACTGGAGGCGAGAGTCAAAAGGAGTCATTTAACTTCTGGATGTTTTTTTTTTTTTTGTATCTTCCCCTCTCTCCACATTTCATCCTCTCTCTTGCGGATCTAGTCGGATCCAGTCTGAGTGAAGCGGACTTCTTGGTGCGAGATAATCGGCAGATGATGTGAGTTAATGAGGCGGAGATGCGGGGGCACAAACTCAGACGCGCTCCGCTCCAGCGACGACAGGTGAGCAACAAGTGAGCGAGAGGAGGACGAGACGGAGGAGTAGACAGAATAAAGGAAGTAACAGGAGGGAGAGGTGGAAAGTCACCGGAGAAGGAAGGAGATAAAGCAGAAACACGTCCCTGGTTCTCGCTATGGACTCTGGGCAGAGCGCGCAGGCGGCCGACATGGGAGGGGAGCACTCCGCCGGGGTGTGCGTCTTGGAGCGGGACAGGGACCGGGAGAGGGGCGAGGTGTCCAGCCCTTGCCCGCCGGCCAAACAGCGCTCTCTTCGGGTGGTGTACGTCCTGAACGACGGGCTGAAGTCGGTGATGGCCAGCAGCCCGGAGTCCGGAGCGCTGCAGTGCCTGCAGAGAGCCTGCGACGCGGAGAGCGCACTGCTCACCACCGTTACCTTCGGGAGGCTGGACTTTGGAGAAACATCGGTGCTGGACAGTTTCTACGATGCAGGTGTGTGTCGGTGAAAACAACAAGTTTTTGGTCATTTGCAGGTCAAAATATAAAGTTGTCCAGGTTAAAACTGGAGAAAAATCAAGATTTTATTTGCACAAGTTGCACAAAAGTTGTTTCAACAGCATGGAGGAAGTCCTAAATGTTGAAATAATAACTGAAATTGTTAAAGTATTTACTCATAGCCTGCTGTGCTGCTTGTGCAATTTTGAGGTAGTTTAAGTATTTCCATTTTATGTTATACCATACTTCTACTTTACTACAGTCCAGTGGTAAACATTGCCGACTTTGCTCTCCACTAGGCCTACATTTTGCTCTTTTGCTATGCTGCAGCGCACATTAATACACTCACACAAGATAATCTTTCTAGTTTCTACTGTGTGTTAGACAAAATATAATTATTAAAACGATTATGGGGTCTTTGAGTGAGACTTTCAGAGATATTTAAAGCAGAATTGACTGTTTCCCTTTATTTATTCTGGTGAGAGAGAATTACAGTGGTGGTAAACATTGTCTGCGAATGTTTCATTAAAAAGGAAGATAATCTGATTGAAAAGGCCTGGTTGAAAACCTGAAAACAATAAGCCTTTACTGCTGCCAATGTTTAAGCAATTTAAGCATTCAAATCAACCTATGCCATGTATGAACAATAAACACCAGTTAATGTTGTTAGACTACAGAAAGATTGCCACGATTCTTCGCCTATAACTATATATTAGAGGGTACAAAAGTGCATGGTTGGAGAATACACTTAATACATATATTACATTTGTGGGTGACATTAAGTATTTCCAAGATAAATGCACAAACATTAAAATCACCAGACGCCATGGCAGTGCCGTACATTAATGCACTACATGATAAAAGGATTTAATGATGTTCTCTGGTGCTCTTTGATTAATGTTAACTCTTTAAAACTGCGTCTAACGGACGATACTCACTCTTCATGAGGCGTATATTTATGGCTAATACAATGAATGAGACATCTCATTAGTTGAGTAAAAATCTCAGGCAGGGAGCCAAAGAGGCCCAACATCTCTTCCATTTGTCTTATAGAAAGGTTTACAGTATGTTACGATATGTTTTGGTTGTAGTTTTGATTTAAGGCGAGGGTCAAAGCATTTGACTTGAAGGCTCAGTATCACTGAAGTATTTCCTGCCATGACATGTCAGAGAGTCTTCTGTGAAAGATGCCTACGTATACACAGTATACAGTTGAACATGAACCCTGACGTTAATCACACATCTGACAGTCGGATCCACTAATCTCTAATGTATTTTCATTAGCCATGCAGTGGTGTGGCTCCAGGGATGGT